GGATATATATAAATCTTATTTTATTTTATATACTATTAATCTTATTTAATATTCACGTAATAAGCTTTATTAAGATATATTATATATAGCTTATAAGTTTTCTCTTATATATTAAAGTTACGTAAAGTAAGTTAACCTTTAACCTCTTTAATTAATTACCTTAAACTATAACCTTTTAAATGTTAATTAATAAGGTAAAGTATAAGTTAAGTAATTTAATTAATTAAGGTTTATAATATTTTAAAGCTTATTAGCTTAAGCTTAACCCTTTAATACTTTATATTAATTATACTATTAACTTAAAAGCTTTAACTTAAGCTTAATAAATAATTAAGTGTTTATAAAAGTAATATTAATATTTATTAAATACGTAAATATAATAAAATAAGTATTAAAATAATACCTTAAATACTTAATTTTCTTAAGTAAAAGTTATAAGAAATTTAAAGTTCTCTTAAGCTTATAATTATTATACTTTAAAGAGTATTAATTATAATAATAATATATATATATAAGTTTATATTTAATTATAAAAGAGAGAATTATATATACTCTTTTTATAAGTGCGCTTATTATTAGGGTTATCCACTCGTGGTTAAGGGTTTACCCTTATCTGATTATGCGTACGTAATTTGTACCCGTAACAAGTGACCCATTCTGACAGTCATGAACTCCACCGAAGCCGTCGTCTTTCTCTCCACTCCTCATCGCGGGTTAGACTTAGCCCCGTATCTAAACCGAGTCCTCTCCGCTAGCTTCGGCTCTACGTCGAAACAATACGTTGCGGAGCTGACCAAGCCTTCATCCTTCCTGCATACGGTAAACGAGCAGTTCCGCCACGTCGCTAATGAACTCCAGATATTTTCTTTTTTCGAAACATTGCGATCATCGATTGGTGTATCTTCTGCAGTACGTGGTCGCTCCGATTTTCTACTTCGTTACCAATTTAAATTAAATTGAGAGCGTCTCCAGTTAACCCTAGACCCTGAGTCGGCAAAGTTGGGGTACCCTTGTGAGGTTTCAAGATCGCTCAATGTAGACCACTACCATGTGTGCAAATTTGAGACTCCTCAAGATCCTAACTATCGCGTCGTCGTCGGTGCCCTAAAATCTCTTGTTTCATCAATCCATTCGACGGGTAGGTGTGCGGCGAGATTATTCATATCTCATTATTTTGGTTCGCGCTAATGTGATTCTCGTCCCAGAAACCGAACTCAATACCTAACATGTTGAAAGGCTGCGCTCCTTTCTATCTATTTCAGCATCCATTGACCACGACTTTGATCTTTTTTTGCGGTCGTCAAGCTGAGGGAACATGTCAGTGGCTTCTCGAGCAGGCCTCTATTCTCGAGTGGCTTTCCACTCCGTCACAGTTAGAGGTTCTTATGCTTCATGGACGACCCGGGTGTGGGAAGTCTGTTGTAGCGTCCTTCTTAGCACAGCATCTCCATGGGTCTGGTGCTGTGGTGCAGTATTTCTTCCTCCGGGCTGGCGATGAAACCAAAAAGAGCATGGCCGCGCTGATCCGGACCATTGCTTTTCAAATTGCACAACAGCTTCCTTTTTTCGCAAGACTTTGTTGGACATGGCGGATGGCGGTTACAAGCCCAAAGACGCCGAATGGAGATCGACATGGAAGAGACTGTTTGTGAATCTGCTTTTTGAGATGGAGTTCCATCCACCTCTATATTGGATCATAGATGGTGTTGACGAAGCCACCTCTCCTCATCACCTCTTTGAGCTTTTATCGGACCTGCAACTTTGTAAAGTTCCTATCAGGGTCTTAGTAACAAGGAGATGGAGCCAAACTTTGGTATCTGCTTTTGAACGAGCTATTTCTAGGCTGCCGTCTTCCATGTTCAGCATTGATAGCGACTTGACTGACATGGGGCTCTACGTGGAAGAGGAACTCAAATATAATAATTGGGAGGAAAGGATTACTGAGAAGATCATTCGGCAAGTTCTCGAAAGAGCAAATGACAATTTTCTATGGGTTCATTTGAGGAGCTCAAGGACTGTAACACAGAAGAGGACATTGGCGACCGCCTTATTGAACTTCCTCGCGGGATGGACGGACTGTAACAGCGCATCGAAGAGAGCATATGCCGCATCCAACGGCCCTCGGACCAGAATCTCGCTCGTAGGCTCCTCATCTGGTCCATGTACGGGCGTCGAACACTTGCAATGGATGAGCTTGCCGATGCCCTGTCGCCCGATTTTGGCCGGATTCTTGACATCTCTCAAACCGCGGGCAGGCTCTGTGGTCACTTTATAACAATTGAAGGTGAAAACAAGATTGGATTGATTCACCAGACAGCACGCGAGTATCTTACAACCACTTCGTCCCTACCCTTTTCTCTAGACGGCCCCGCTGCGCATGGTGAACTCTTCAGGACCTCCGTCACATCCTTCTTAGACAAGGGCCTGCGGTCCAAGCTTCAGCGTGCTTCGCCAAAATTGCTCGAGTACCGTGCGACATCATGGCCCTACCACCTATGCGCCACTGACGTACATGAAAATGGAGATAAACACCTGGATCTTTTGACGCAGTTCTTCACACAGCCCTCGGTTCTAATCTGGACCCATGTGTTGGCTTTACTTGGTCAACTCAGAGTGCTCATTGAAGCGTCTCAGTCTTTGTATACTTTCGTCAGGAGAAAGAGAAAGGCTGAAGCTGTTAGTGACCCTGCTTTCAGAAGATTTGATGAACTCGAGGTCTTGGAAAGCTGGTCTCGGGACTTGCTGAAGTTGCTCGGCAAATTTGGCAGCTGTCTAACCCAAGAGCCGACCATCATTTACACCAGCGTGGCGCCGTTTTTTCCTACAAGTTCTTCGATTTTCAAGACCCTTCGGAAAGCAACAAACCGGTAATCTTGCAGTACGAGGGCTCCCGGAAGACTGGGATGATTGCCTCGCAAGAGTTTCTGTTGGCACCGAAAGCGTGGCAACGCTCATATGCTGCTCCGGACGACATCTTGCCGTAGGGACTTCAGAGAAGACAGTATTCGTTTGGGATTGCACAACATTTCACCAAGTTGCTAAATTGGAGCATAGCGAAGCATTTTCAGCGCTCTGTTTCAGCTCCAAGGGAGACCGTCTGGCGACTTATGGACTTCGTCACACCAAGGTCTGGAGCCCTCAAACCGGGAAACTCTTGTTGTCCATCCCGAGTCATGCCAATATGCAGGCTCTTTGTCTGCGATTCGTCGATGACGACACCGCAATCATCATGGGATCTGACCATCGATGTGTCCTACGTGCCTCACTCGCCCCGAAAGCAGCCTGAGAATGGAGCAATATGAGCCAGCAACTCCTGAACGATATCGAATCTCTCGAAGGCACCTATCTCAATTCTCCCGTTGCATTGTCTATCACACCGGATGGATCCAAGATTGCGGCCGCTTACAGAAGGTTCTCCCTCACAATCTGGTCCTTTGACTCAGCTACACCCCTAGTACGTCTGGCGCGACCAGAGAAGGCCAGCCAACCCTCTAAGCCACTCCCATTTGTCTCCAAGATCTCGTGGCACCCCGGAGGAGATGAAATCCTTGGGATTTTCATCTCCGGTCATAGTTTTAGATGGAACATTGTGGATGGGGCCTACCAAGAACATGCACCTATACCGGGACAGATGCCGTCCGATATCATCTGCAGTCCAGACGGGTTGGTCTATGCAATCTGCGGAGTTCGCGGGACAAGAAGGCTTTTCGACTACCCAAGTTCCATGCTGATATACCAACTAAACTTGGATGACTTGATGACTGCCTTTTACTTCAGCCACGATGGAAGAAAATTTGATGATATTCGCGGCAGCTACTGCGCCGTTTGGGAGCCAAATGCTCTCATGCGACTGAGGATGGTGGATGACGACGCCGCTCATAGCCAGGCTGCCGAGCAAAGCGTTTGCAATCTCAAGTGGCCTCCGAAACGGCAGTTGATAGCTCTGCTCCGGTACTCCTCATGTCTCCTGCGCCGCAGAGCCATGCGGTGTGCTTTGGAAATGACGAAGGGGCCGTGGAGCTGTTTGACTACGAAGCGTCGGAGAAATTGCGCCTAGGACAGACTGCGTCTCAAATGAGTATTGAGCATCTCGCCTGGAGCGAAGACGGTGATCGCGTCTGCTACGCGGAGCTGGGTGGTCGGCTCACCGTCGTGCAACTCGATCACGGCAAGAAGGGCCGTCGAGCGCGCCGAGTCGAAAGGCTCAAGCCTAGGTTTGACACTATGGGTGTTACACAAATTCTTTTCTTGCCAGGGTCTCGCAACTCTCTACTTGTATCGTCTTCTTCTTCCGTACAGCGCTGGTCTCTCGAACCAGCCCAACTTGAGACGACTTGGGACTATTGGCAATCACAAACATCTCGGCAGTGGATTCCACATCCTCGATATCCCCCCAACCTCCTGTCCATCACACCTGACGGTGTGTCTGTTCACCTGCGGTGCAGTCTGGAAATAATCTCTGTCCTCTGGGATGATGTCGGTAAGGGAGACCACCCGCCTGGCTCTTTGCCTGAGTCATTTATCAATCATACACCAAAACTCTAATGATGCAGTAGATGATTTGACCGTCAATGAAGAAGTTGAGAGTGTAAAAAGCACATTCGTGTACAGTCACCTTTTGGTTAAAATATCCAGGACTTCATCGTCTAGCAAACTACGGCCCCGGTTCTTGATATTTGATGCCAGTCACATCTTGAAAATTCGATTTCACTCGTGCATATCCCAGAAATGTTTCGCAGATGGTTGAGATGCCACTGAATGTTCTGTCAAACGGTAAACTAGTCTTCATAGATCAGTCGTTTCGAGTTTGTTCATGGCACATAGGACCTACAAATAGGACAAACAACGTGCAACGGTACTTCTTCATACCCCGGGACTGGTTACCACTACAGAGTCTCGGGCTTTTGCAAATCACATCGACTGGCGCAATTTTTTGTCCCCGAAAGGGTGGAGTTTCTGTTATTCATAGCTCAATCGGCGCGGCCTTTTAGGAACATACTTCAGCAATAATTCTTTGCCCTTGCAATAGGGTACTTGATGCATTATTTCTCTACCTCACGCATGATGAACCACGGATCTTTGGGGATAAAGTACTTCTAGGATTATGCAATTGACTGCGCGTGTGTGGTTGGGGCGTTGATAAGCAAGCACCCCCAGTCCATGGGAACAATCCTGATGATCATTATGACCCTTGACCTCTCACTGTATTTTTTATAGCCTGCTTAATAGAACACTAGTAATGTTCACTGTAAAAGATACTGCAGATCAAGACAGAAAGAAAGTGTAGAATGGCAGTTAAGCCTACACGCACAAGTGCGGGCCCCGGAGTATTGGTGCAAATCGCCTTAATTATCGCAGCCCGACTTCCCGCGAGGACTCACTACTAATCTTTTTTGCTTTTTGTTTATCATCTCCCCATTCTACGTGGCCAGTGTCGACGCCCATGAATCGAACACATCTGGACTCTTTCCGGGCATCTCTGCCTACTTACTCCGAAATGTATAGCTCTGGAGACGGCACTTAGGGTTAGGGTTAGGATAGCCAAACCCCTCGGTGGGGTTTTCGTGATAAGATAAGAGATAATTTGACCGGGGAAATCATCTTCCCCACTTCATCTCCCGTTTGCGACCACCAGGCGTCACTTCAAGAGGGCGTCATATATCTCTCGCGACACTATTTCTCCATTTCTTGGCGGAGCGGCAACGTTGAGTCCATACAATACTCCATTGCTTGCCGACCAAGCGCTATCCCCGCCAAGCCCAGACTCACCTAACGGCATAGGGCGCCCAGCGGCGACTGGTACGCCATCCTGTCGCATTCGGCTAGCCGCAGCTTTCCGCATTCATAGAATACCCTTTGCACGGCTGTCTGCCACTTCATCTGAATATGGCTGTATCGGAACTTACTGCTTCAGCGGTAGCTAGAGGCGCAATGGCAGTTGATCCGTCCGGCGTTTCTCAGGGAGCAGCATCTACTCGGCCGACTGCATTACAGAATAGGGCGGCATTCAGCAAGAGTCCCTTTGTTAGAGCCGGAGAAAACAGCCCGGTTAAATGGCAAATCCTAGACGCCGATTCAGTCGACCGAGCGAAGCGGGAGAACAAGCTTCTCTTTCTTCATATTGGATACAAGGCTTGTCACTGTATGCTATTGAGTCGCGGAAACCATCTTGGCCCTGAATGAGCAAGCTGACAGTTGACAGTCTGTCGTCTCATGACTCAAGAGTCATTTTCAAACCCAGAATGCGCTGCCATATTAAACGAATCCTTTGTTCCCGTCATCATTGACCGAGAAGAGCGCCCCGATATCGACACTATTTACATGAATTATGTACAGGCCGTGAGCAACGTAGGGGGCTGGCCGCTAAACGTCTTTGTTACCCCCAATCTAGAACCCGTCTTTGGCGGAACGTACTGGCCGGGACCTGGCACGTCGCGCCGAGTTGCGGCCGAAAGCGAGGACGAGTCGCCCGACTGTCTGACGATTTTCAAAAAGGTGCGGGACATTTGGCATGATCAGGAGACACGGTGTCGTAAGGAGGCTTCAGAAGTTCTGGCACAGCTTAGAGAGTTTGCCGCAGAGGGCACCTTAGGCACTCGAGGACTTACCGGTACACACCCCATCGCCACACCAAGCTGGAATATCCCCAGCAACCCCGAGAACACCCCAATTCGCGCCAGGGACAAAGATGCCCAGGTTTCCAGCGAGCTGGATCTGGACCAGCTGGAAGAGGCATACACGCATATTGCCGGAACATTTGACCCCGTATACGGCGGATTTGGCCTGGCGCCAAAATTCTTAACGCCTCCAAAGCTGGCCTTCTTACTACATCTAAACACATTCCCCAGCGCTGTCCAGGATGTGGTTGGCGAAGCAGAATGCAGGCATGCCACAGTAATGGCCGTCGACACCCTTCGAAAGATCCGCGATGGCGCCCTGCACGACCACATCGGCGCAACTGGATTTGCCCGCTGTTCAGTCACGCCCGACTGGAGTATCCCCAACTTTGAGAAGCTAGTTGTCGACAATGCCTTACTGTTGGTCTTGTACCTCGATGCCTGGGGGATAGCTGGCGGTAAGGCGGACAGCGAATTTTACGACACTGTGCTCGAACTCGCCGACTATCTGAGCTCGCCCCCAATCGCCTTGCCCAGCGGCGGCCTGGCCACCAGCGAAGCCGCCGACTCTTTCATGCGACGCGGTGACAGGGAAATGAGAGAAGGAGCCTATTACTTATGGACCAGGCGCGAGTTCGACTCCGTCGTGGACGCATCTGGCCAAGACAAGCAAATCAGCCAAGTCGCCGCCGCCCACTGGGACGTCCAAGAAGGCGGCAACGTAGACGAAGACCACGACCCCAACGACGACTTCATCAACCACAACATCCTACGGGTCGTCAAGACCCCAGACGAGCTCAGCAGGCAGTTCAACATTTCCACCGACACAGTACGCCAGCACATCCAGGCCGCCCGGAAGGAACTCAAAGCAAGACGAGAAAGGGAGCGAGTCCGCCCCGAGCTAGACGACAAAGTCATCACCGCGTGGAACGGCCTCGCCATCTCCGCCCTCGCACAAGCCTCGTCCGCCCTGAAGCCCGTAGACCCCGCCCGCAGCGAGAAGTACCTCCACGCCGCGGAGTCAGCCGCCGGCTTCATCAAGGCCTCTCTCTGGGACGAATCGTCAAAACTCCTATACAGGATATACCGCGAGGGCCGGGAAACCAAAGGCTTCGCCGACGACTACACCTACCTCATCCACGGGCTGCTAGACCTCTTTGCCGCAACAAGCGACGAGAGCCACCTCGCGTTTGCGGACGCCCTCCAAAGTAAGTCGCTTCATCTCCCCTTTGTGTCAAACACACAAACCAACGTGGCCTAGAAACCCAAAACTCGCTCTTCCATGATTCAGACTCGGGCGCCTTCTTCTCAACGACAGCCTCCTCGCCACAGGCTATTCTCCGCCTGAAGGACGGCATGGACACCTCGCTGCCGTCGATCAACGCCGTCGCTGCGTCGAATCTGTTCCGTCTCGGGGCGCTGCTAGACGACGAGCCCTACTCGACATTGGCAAGGGGGACGGTCAATGCGTTTGAGGCAGAGATGCTGCAGCACCCGTGGCTGTTTCCAGGCCTGTTGGGCGGCGTTGTGACTGCGAGATTGGGGCTGCAGGAATCTGTTGGCGACGTCAAGTACAAAGTTGGACGGGAGAAGGCTGTTTAGCGTACCAAAATATCCGTTGGCTGCCCGCACGGCGGCTGCAAACGCGCCATGGTCGTTCACGTGAGCTTGTTGCAGACCGGTCAACGTATTGATCCAGGCGTAAAAGCATAATGCCGTGCGTCATGTGTGAATGAATGCATTTATTGAGTGCATCTCGCATCTCGTACTTGGACCTTGGTGACGGAAAATGTTGACAGCCACTCCGAAGGCGCCAGCTGAGCCCAGAGCCATTCTGCCTGGGGGCTCCTTTCTTGTGCCCCGTCATCCCCGTGCCTTGATTATTTATCTATTTTTCACCTTTTTTTTTCAGCTCGAATGTTCCCATACAGGAATCGATTGAATTTTATTTCCAGGGTATCTATTCTACAATAGTTGCCGTTGTTCACTCACTGCTTCACCCTCATGACCGGGGGCTGTCGGCCGCCCCAGCAGTCCTGTTCATCAACCCGCTAAAGAAATTCTGTAGTTGCTCATTGTCAAAGTCCTTTGCCATGTTGCCCACCGGCAGTTCGTCCTGTTCTTCTTCGTCGTCCGGTGCAGCGTGTGCATTGCGATCCTGTCGTCATTAGCATCGCCTTCCCGCCTTGGTTGCACTTGGACCCAATGAGGAATTTGAATGGTAGACTCACCTTAAGACGCTGCAGCATGTCATCTGCATCGACTTGAATGCCCCCCATGTTGAACTGCACCGGGCCAATGTGATCGTGCACGCTCTTCTCCTCCGGAAACTCGACCCTTCTCCCTGCCGGTAGGGGACTGCCCCCCTTCTCAGGAGCCTTGGCCTTGAATGCCTCCAGGATCTTGAGCTGTCTCTCCAGAAAGTCCTGCGGGTCTTCGCTCTCCACGCCGACGGTTTGGCCGTCTGACATTGCGCTCTCAACGACGGCGAGACCGCCGCTATTGGGGTCACGACACCATTGTTCGTATTGAGCTATGGCGCTGGGCTCCTGCGTCGGCTTGGGGGATTCTTCGTCGGTGTTACTGGCGCCGGGATCGGACCCCGGAGGTAGCTTGATATCTGCTTCCCAGCCCTGAGAGATAAGTTCAGTATCAAAATTACCGCCGAGGATTCGAATCTTGCCCCATGAGTCCCAATTTGGTGCGACGACAATCTTGTCTCGGTCTATTACGTTGTGTTTGAGCGGTTGGCGCTTGAGGAGGGATGTGATGCCGAGAGTGGAATGGATGAGGAGAGGCAGTTGAGAGGGTGTGTTTTGGGACGTATATATCAGAGATGCGCCGTCTAAAGAAACGTTAGCGACGTCGCGGTTTGCGTCGGGGGTTAGAACATACGTCGGAGGAGGACGGTTCGGAGATACTGCAAGACAGTGTCAAAGTCGGGTTCTTTCCAGCTCTTGTTTTTTTCAAGAAACTCCATTTTTTGCGCCTGCAGCTCGTTAGATTAGTTGTAGACAGACAAGTCCCGCGCGAGAAGAAGGGAGAGGCTTACATTCTGGCATACTACGCAGAGTGGCAATCCCAACGGCTCCGACCACTCTCCTGGTCCCAGCGGCAGCAATCCGTCGCCATCGCCACTCGTTGCTGTTGCCGTCGGCGTTCCGTCCAAGTTCGTCGATCCACCCACACGGCCGCGTTCCTTCCAAGAAGCCATGATATCCTCCATTTCGTTGCGCGCCTCGGTGCTCACCCCACCCATGACCTCTTCTAGCACTTGGATCCAGCTCCAGATTTGACGGAGCCATTTATGTGGTTGTGACCAGTCAAGGAGGATGATGATGGCTGTGTGGGACACTGTCTCCGCGGTTAATAGCGGCGAGACAAGGGTTGCGAATTCGTTGGAGGGCTGTGAGAGCAGATATAGTGATACTCGGGCAAGCGTATCTAGTTGTGTCAGTCAGGTCTGACCCACGCCTAATCAATAGCGTTTCAAATGCGAACCGTCTTGATCTGCGTCCAAAACATCGTAGTATGTATATCCTAAAGCAAAGTTATTTGCGACAGGCGGTGTCTTTTGTCTATCGAAATTGCGTCTCGCCTCGGTACCAGATAGTGACTCGATAAACTCCCGTTGGGTCTCAGGGGTACCGCCTATTAAATCATTAGTCGGTTGAAAAGCATAGCATAGCTACGCGGGAAACACAATGAAGACGCGCATACCCAACACCAGGAGATTCTTTTCTGGGAGGCGCTTCGCGCTAGCGACTGATTCCAGCATGGATGTCCATAGGTTCTTCTTTTGTTCGCCATTTCGACCGTCCGTTTCGCCAGAGCCAGAGGTGTATGTTGACACTCGTTCGTTTCTACCCGTCATGGCAGCAGTTTTTCGCACAGGCGGAGTTTTCGCGTCCACAAAAGTTTGAAGCTAATATATGGCTGCTGTCGACTATTTCGTACGAGAGGCGTGTCATCAAACGCGCTTTGTAGAGCTTGATGGTGGAAGAAACCGCGTCTCGAGGTCGTCAGGGGTGCAGGAGCTCAAACGCACTGCTCGAGCATCTTGGATCGCGTGAAGGGTAAATAAGAAACAACCTGTAAAAATCGTAAGACCGGGCCCAAGATTCAAAGAGGTGTCTTTCTTCCAGACAAATGCGCACGAGACGAGATTGCTTCCAATGGCGTGGGTATACCCCCTTCGTCAAAGGCCCGGAGCTCTATTACGTGCGGTGCGGAAATTGACCCGCAGGAACAGGACTGATCCCTGGCCAAACGCCAAGCGGTTGTCCACCAAGCCCAGAACGCCAAGGGCTCCACTGTCACGCCTGCCACCTCTCAGCCTTGCATTGAGATGTCTTGCCCGGCATTAAAGCTTTCGACAGCCTTGCCAAGCTCAACTCTTCGCCATCAGCAACAGCCAAGCGCAGCATCATGAATAAAATCCGGGCCATCCAAGAGCTTAACAGGAGAGAAATCGAAAATGGAATGTGAGTCCTGCCATTAAGCTTCCCTACTCCCTCGCGCAAATCTGCTGACATGTCCAGAACACCCGAGGGCTCATGGCACGTCGACTACCGCGACACGGCATTTATCTACTTTGGCGGCCTGCCCTACGACCTGACTGAAGGCGACATCATCACTATATTCTCCCAATTCGGCGAGCCCGTCTTTCTGAAGCTCGCGCGGGACAAGGAGACGGGTAAATCCAAAGGCTTCGGATGGCTCAAGTACGAAGACCAGCGCAGCACAGACCTGGCGGTAGATAACCTGGGCGGCGCCGACATTGGCGGACGAATGATCAGTGTTGACCATGCGCGATACAAGGCCCGGGATGACGAGGACCCCGAAGAGTTCAATGTTAGCTGGGAAGCCATGATGCGGAGGGAAGGCAAACTCAAGGATGAAGACGAGGAGAGCGAGGAAGAAGTGACTAGGCCAATATTACCAGAAGAAAGGGAGTTGGCGATTTTAATGAGGGACCATGATGATGATGATCCGATGAAGGGTTTTTTGGTGGAAGAGAAGAAGCGAGAGGTTGAGGAGGCCAGGAGGAAGGCGGACAGGAAGGAGAGACATGGGGATAAGCATAGACACAGACACAGCAGGAGGGATGAGTCTCCGGAAGGGAAAGATAGGCGACACAGAGAAAGGAGTAGAGAGAGGGAGTCGAAACGGCAAAGAGACGACTCGAGGGACAGAGAGAGGCGGCGCCGTAGAGACCATGATGATGACGGGCACAAGAGAAGGGACAGGCGGGATCGCAATGGTGATGAAGGAGAGCGGCGGAGGGATAGAGAACGCGATCGGCCAAAATATGATCGGGACAGATCACAAGAACGAACAAAACGCCGCAGGGACGATGAGCGGAGGCGGAGGCGGAGCAGAAGCCGTTCGCCAAGACGTCATGAAAATTGATACCACAATAGCACTTAATTTGCGTATTGGAAATGTGAAAGACCAAAAGTAGTGATGGTATTCGAGACCTACGCCGCCTAGATCCAACTGATAACGCCCAACGTCCCATTGTATGCAATAGTATCTTGTAGCCCCAAACATTGTGGCTACCTACAGGAAATCACGTATTTCCCAAATATCGTTTCCAACCCTCTCTCACGCACAACCGTTTCCCACTCTCGCCATCTACCAAGACGAATTTCTCCCATCGAGCATCCTTGCCGGCACCCACAACCGCAAGACTATCTTCGCTAATCCAGCCAATGATGCCCTTCGCGGGACGCATCGTTCCCAGGACCGTTCCTTCGGAGAAGGGGATGCCCCCGATCATAGTTTCGTCACCAGCTTCAAACGGCGCAGAAGCGAATGAGTATACGTCTGAAAATACGCGGGGCATGAGCGGCAACTTGCCCAGGATGCCCCATTTTCCAGGCTCGGCGTCGGATGAACCGAGCTGCTGGCTTCTCTGTATTGATTGCCTCTTTGTATTCGGGATATCAAATATGTGCAGAGTTGATTTGTCCGATGTGCAGGCAAGCATGGCTCCGGATGGCGAGAAAGCCAAGGAGAATATGGTTGCGGGGTCAATCCCCCTTCGAAGCTCTGCGACCTTGGCGCAATTTGCTGTGGAGTAGACACGGATAAGAGTTCCCGTCTCACTTGCAGTAGCCAACAGCTCTCCGTTGGGACTTAACTGGATGGCCTTGAGGGCTGATGAGTGAGCCGGAATGATGCTAACGTTGCCTGTAGCAAGCTCGATAAGTTGAATCTGGCCAGGAGTCCGTCCTGGAAAGGCGAGTGTCTTGCTGGACAAGGAACAGAGGCCGAGAATGTTATCCGCTGTTTCATAGACATGAAGTAGGTTCGGGGGTTTGGAAAACGAGTAGACGCGAATGCTGTTTTGTAGAACGACCACAATGCGCTCACGACCTAGCTGGACTCCACGGACGGAGCTGAGGGCTGAAATTTCGAGTGCTACTCTTCCTTTCATGTCATCCCATATAATAGCCTGCGGTTCAGGTGTCAGCAGGCATATTTTCAAGCGTGCTTCACCTTGACTGACCTTGTTCATGGCAAATTTGGGAGACCTGCCACCACCGACGAGAGCCAAATAGTTGGTCATGCCCATCATCTGAACAAGGCCAATCCCGGCGTTGAAATCTAATGGCATGTTAGCTAGTCGTATGAAAAATAGGTAAATTCCTTGGAAAAGAGTACCTCTTGATGCTTTTAGTAAACATGACTTTGTGTGAAAGACTGAGCAGGTTAGCACAAACACTATGACCAAAAATTCCGTGAAACATACTGCAAATTCCAGATTCAAGACCAACAGCAAAGCAGCTGCTATCATTATTAAATGCGACAGATAAAACGGCCGTCGGATTCGACGCCTCGATAGGAGGCCGCACATTCATGCTGGTGTGGCGTGGGTAGTATGTGAGACAAAATGTCGATGAGAAACAGAGTCAAAAAAGCAGGAACATGAGCTGCGTGAACAGAAGCAAAGGACTACTGAGAAATAGAAGGAGTCATATCGGCGCTGGCCCTTAGGTTAGAGATATCAAAGAGTTGCAGGCGCCGCGCAACAGCAGCAATGAGCAGTCGTGCTGCCAGCGTACCGATTGGGAGGCAATGCTGGCTCTTCAGAGTTATTTCCGGGATGCCACAGTTTCCCAGAGTCCGCCAGAGCACCTCTCAGCAGGTGGGCAGGGGACCGCGCCCGCGCCGGTATGTAGATATAGATGTGAGTTGTGAATCTCGAATCTCGAGTTCGCAGCCCCTGTGGTGATGAGATGGCGACGATGAGGAGCAGGCAGCTGAGCCAAATAAAGCGAAGATGTCGACTGGTTCCAGATGTCGCACCGAAAGCTGGTGACTTAGTCGGCTGTGGGGGTCTCCGTCACGCATGACTTGACAGTACCCAGGTACTAGTATGTATGTACTAGTTACTACTATACTACCCACCTGGGCAGTTGTCTGGGCATCTAGGCAGTCAGTGGTCCTTCGTCCAACACAGTTCCAAAACCAGCCTAGTTTAGCTAAAGCCAAGACTTGTTTGGGGAAGGAGCGGGTAACACATTGTTTGTAGATGGGCTGGACAACAATTATTGATGCGACATGTTCTTATGCCGTGGTGCTTGCGGCTTTTTCAACGGACCGAAGTGCAATAATCCCAAGATTTCTGGAAGTTCTTCTCACTCTGTCGGCCGAAAAGTGACAAGGGCCATACCGCTGATTACCCCACTAATACGGAGTACACCGCCGAGCTAATAATCGTGGCCGCTAGTCTCCAGGGGCAAGGTATCAAGGTAAGGCTCCTAGAAGGGCGAGGAGCTTGTGAATTGTGCTGCAAATTTAGTGTTTTCTCATCATATGCGCCAGTAAAAGAGGGCGGGATAATGAAACAAAAGAAAGGGTAAGGAAAATGTGGAAATCACAGACTTCATCAGGGTGGGAATTCGAAATTGCAGTGCCTTGGTTTTTGTGCAATGATGATACCGCTGAGGCGATGAGGATGCCCAAACATTATAGACAAAAGCGTGATTCCACGATTGAAATCTTCAAAGGCTACACCGTACCGCGCAACAGAGTACCTAGGTAGCCAGGCCAAGTTGGTTTATGGTTGATGTATTTGTAATAAGCAAGTTGTGACTGGCATGCTGAATTCCTCGGCACCTAGAGACGAGACCAGGTTATGGCAAAGGCGCGCCCCCATTCAATGATCAACCGACGTCTTACCTTTTCTCTTCGTACTTCCCACGACCAGCGCTGCATACATATCTAGTCCGCTTGCTTGACCCTGTAACCCAACTTGCTAGCAAACAAGTCTCAGCAACGCCTGAAGGCGCGAAAACGCCAATCCATTGTCGAGGCACCGGGGCCTGGGATACTACGAAGGCAGCTTAAATCAATAGTGATGCCGATCAGCCGGGTCACTTCAGCTCCTGAAGCTACCACACGCACACACACAAACAAACAAGGCCAATACCCCAGCCGTTGAGGAGACCGAAAATGATCAGCCGTCCTTGCCATGGGGTCGTACCTAAGGATACGATGTACTGCAGATTTTGCTCTTGCATGACGGTAACGCCCAACCATGGCGGCGATATACAGCTCACCTCCGCCTTCCTCGACCCCGACTGACCTCGGTCCCATCACAGCCACACTGCCTTTCCTCAAAACTGCTACACAGACCATCGTGAATTCCAGGCCGAAGGCTTAGGCTTTCCTTGAACATACAATACCGCAGGCATGTTCGAAATTCCCCCAAATCAGCAAACTCGGCATTTTGCTTATACGCGGGTCTATAGGGTATGCGACAAGTTCATGCTGCCCGTCTGGCAATATATATTCCCAGCAATTCGCATGGATGACAAGTTACTACTCGCCCGAACTCCATTGCCCTTCGAACTGTCATTACTGCGCTCCGCCGCCGCCTCCGTATGCGCTCTCTTCATCAGGCGGAGAAAACATCGCCTTCTGCTGTCCGAGTACTGAGTCACAAGTAATCCAACCCCTGAACTGGAAATTGATAGAAACACTTGCGCAGACTATGTTTGCCCTGCGCGGGAGACCCAATCGGAAGGATACGGTATTGTGTACGACGGCTGCAACAGTGGTCTCGTATCGGGGACACAGGTTGTGACTGTCGATAACAACATATATGACCAAAGATCTTTGTCGCAATATACATATACAGCTACGAGCTACGGAGGCGACTACTGGTGGCAGATCGCGTAGCCAATTCAGATTCGCTGGAAGGAATCCAACCTTCTTGCGACTGCGACGACTTCCGCGAGAGCTACTCGTTCCGTTACCCCGACGGCCGGTTCCAGCGCTACCCAAATAAACTCGGGGCTGTTAACGGGAGCAGTAGTCGGGATCGTAATAGGGTGCCTTGCTGCTCTCGCGATTGTCCTCGGGGCTCTGTGTTTTCTTTGCCTTCAACGACGGGGACAAAGACGACTGCAACTACAACCAAGTGTTAGAATCTTTGCAGGATACGGAACCGGCCCTGGAGAACTGCCATCGGACCCTTCCAAATAGCATGTTTTCCAGGATAATGTCTGGCAGCCGGTTTTCAATGAGCTTGATGCTGCGCCTAGAAAATATGTTGCCGAGATGGAAGGGTCAACTCTCTGGGACAGACGGTAGGTAAAATGGTCTCTCACGACTCTGGCCATATGACTAACTGGATGTGGTCAATAAGAATCATCCCAACCTGTCGGAACTTCCACACGCCCCATAGACGTAAAGTAGCTACTTGAAAGAGGATATTGGTGTTTCGTCGGATTTGGAGGGATTATTCGGGGGAATTGGTCCTTTCGTGTGTGTTCTCATCGCTTTCCCATACAAATGTGCGGAAATTTTGTCCCAGTAGTATTACGTATCACAGACAGGCTCGTAAGCAGAACTTAGGGAGCCTGTCACACATGCGCGTTTGTTTGTGGCTGAAGCCGTTGCCATCACAGCGGTGGTATGCATTTTGTAGTGTCGATGCCAACAATGATAAATGGATGGGCAATGCTAAAAAGAGACTCTAGGCAGAGCGATTGATTGGCAACCGTGAGCTTCTTCGAAACGTTGGATCGAAAATTGTCGCCCAAAAATGCCGGGTCTTATGCCCCGTATGTGACAAAGATCATCCAGAACCAGTCCCTTGGGATGGCCCGCGAATTCTCGGTTATGCCTAATGAGGGCGTCGCATGCGCACGGCCCGTGAAGCAACGAGATGGCGGTTAACTGTTGACTGCAACGGCCACGATGAGGTCCAGGGGTTGAGGATGAAATGCATTTGGCTGAGTTCTGGTTTTAATGCCGGTGTTCAGGTGATGAAGGCAGACGAATTGGAAGCCCCCTGTGTTCAACATCATGAAATGGGCTGTTTGCTTCGAGCGCAGATTAACCAGAGCGGGGAGGGGTCGGTCCCTTGGGCCCTGAGCAGAAGAGCTCGTCACTTGGCTGCCAGGAGCATTCGCCGTAGGTATCTGACAGCATGATTCTGGTGATGAGGTACGCAGCACGTTCTGCCCCTGAAGGGCTTTCGACTAGCCGGCAGAATTGACCAAGAGCTGCCCACCGCCTTTTTTCCTGGCCGCCAGCAACTGCGCAGGAGAAATTTCACAGAGACAAAAGACAAATTAATAGATAAATAAAATTCCGCTCTCAGTATTGATTCTCATGGCAATGGCTGAGGCGGAAATAAGTGTATTAGCCGTGTGCCTCGGCGTGGACCAGCTGCTTCAATGTTCATATCATCTCAGCGTTGATATGATGAGCAGTCGAGATGAAATTAGCCTCCCACGCGGGTTGCAAAAAAGGCCGCACACCCCGCACCCACAACCACACACACAGGTGTGCGGCCTTTTTTGCAACCCGCGTGCCTCCTAATGCCCACTACACGCCAGCGATCTCCATTGGCAGCCGTGTCCTGGGGGCCCCACTTTGACATTTGGAGCCCACCAATCGACTAGACCCCTGGTTCCCCTTTCCAGTGGCCCCGAAGTGCCTGGCGCTGTCCATGTCTGCCCAGTGCTCGTGCCTGCTAATCGGGCCATTGATCTGCTCGAGTCCGCAAGTGGCTCCTCCCACTCCCCCTGGCCAGCACTGGTGGCCTGTAGGATGCGGCGCACCACCTGCTCTAGTCCGCAAGTTATCTCTCCCCGACTTCTCGTCTTCATCCTAGCGAGCTGCTCACAACTGCATCTCCCACGCAGCGCCATCGTTTTCGTCTTGTCGTCTCGTACAACTGACGCATCTCCTCGCCGTCGGTCTTCTTTAACTCCCAATTCTCAACGCCTCGACTCCAGCCAAAATGTCGTCCGCCGCCACTGTACGTGCCTCACAGCTTCCCACCGCCCACACCCACCCTCCTGGACGCATATCCCCCAACTAGCAAACTTGTCGACTCGCCAACAATTGTGTCACGACAGCGTTGAGAGATTATTCTAGATACGGTGCAAACTGCAAAGATGGGATATGCTGACTTGTCTCGATATTTATAGAAGATGATCCGGAGGAAGAAGAATGTCAAGAAGGGTATTCAGTTCTGCTTGATGGTCTGCGGTGCCTCTGGAACTGGTAAGTCACACTTCGTCCCCCCTCCCGCTCAGCTATACCAAGTCACCTGCGTAATGCGGCGACCCGTGTCAATCATATGAGCAATAACTGACATTGCTTCCTCCAGGCCGAACCACCTTCGTCAACACACTCTGCAACAAGGATGTGCTCACGCATAAGAATGCCGACGATCCCACCGATGCTCACGTTGAGGATGGTGTCAAGATTAAGCCCGTCACCGTCGGTACGTAGTCTTTTGAACTACCTTGTGAGAACGAATGAGTCGAACATTGCTTTACTGACAGCACATGGTGATGCAGAGCTCGAGCTCGACGAAGAGGGTACCCGTATTTCTCTGACGATTGTCGATACCCCTGGGTTTGGTGACCAGATCGACAACGAAGCTAGGTAGGGCCCCGTATACGGAAACAGGCGCAACCGCGCATGGAAATACCAGTCTGCTCACTTTGTAATAGTTTCTCAGAGATTGTTGGATACCTTGAGAGACAATACGATGACATCTTGGCCGAGGAGTCACGTATCAAGCGTAACCCCCGATTCAGAGACAACCGTGTCCACGCTATGCTCTACTTCATCACTCCCACGGGCCATGGGTAAGTCCCACACGCCAAAAAGAAACCGCCTTATCAATATTCGGGCCTTCCTAACCCGCTGCCAGTCTACGAGAACTCGACATTGAGCTCATGAAGCGCCTTGCCCCCCGATGCAACGTCATTCCCGTCATTGGCCGTGCTGATTCCCTGACCCCCGCCGAACTGGCTGAGTCCAAAAAACTTGTTATGGAGGATATCGAGCACTACCGTATCCCTGTCTATAACTTCCCCTACGATATCGAGGAGGACGACGAAGACACGGTCGAGGAAAACGCTGAGCTTCGAGGTCTTATGCCCTTCGCCATTGTCGGCTCTGAGGATGTTGTTGAGATTGGTGGCCGCAAGGTTCGCGCTCGTCAGTACCCTTGGGGTGTAGTCGAGGTTGACAACCCTCGCCACTCTGACTTCCTCGCTATTCGATCCGCTCTCCTTCACAGCCATCTGGCTGACCTCAAGGAAATTACCCACGACTTCTTGTACGAGAACTATCGTACCGAGAAGCTGTCCAAGAGTGTAGACGGTGCTGCCGGAAAGTAAGTGTTTCATCGTACGTTGAAACGGCGCCGAGGTCTATTCTGCTAACACTCAACACAGCATCGATAGTTCCATGAACCCTGAGGATCTTGCCTCACAGTCTGTTCGTCTCAAGGAAGAGCAGCTTCGAAGGGAAGAGGAGAAACTGCGTGAAATCGAGCTCAAGGTCCAGCGCGAAATTAACGAGAAGCGACAGGAGCTTTTGGCTCGTGAGTCGCAGCTTCGCGAAATCGAGGCCCGTATGGCAAGGGAAGCCTCTGCTACTTCTGTGAGCGGGCCTACCGAGGCCAACGGCGACAACGAAGCCTAAGTCTTGTCCAGCGATACGCTAGGCCTTTCTGCGATACCCTGAGAATAAAAAGGAAGACATGCGACGTTGGTCTATTTATCTATGTCGGCGTTGGTTTTTTTTTTTCTTTTTCATCTCTGTCACGACGAAAAAGCAGAAGCAGCAGGGTACTTCCCCGGGACTCGCAATGCAACATAAATTCGATTTATCTCTTGTTCTACACCACGCCACTATGCTTGTTCGCATTTCAATATAAAAGGCTGGCTATGATTGAGACGACAGGAGGAACCAATTTCAGAATGGAGTGAGACAGTAGTGGAAGTATGGTGAGTACAGGTTTACACAAATAACCCCCTTGTACTTGCGACTAGGCAGTGGTTTCTTGATGATCGGGGTCGCGAGCGGGAACGGCAATGGCAAGCAACCGATGCAATTAGCACTGCGGTGGAGGTGGATGGGCAAGAAGGACATGATGTGCGGTCGACATTCTCGGGTATATGGCCGGCATTTGCGGTTATGATATCCCCTTTTAGCTGTATTGGTAACCCATTTGTTTGTAGCCTAGCCTTGGTACCGTGTCGCCCAGCTAATTTTTCCATTTGTTCTGTTCTTTAGTTCTCTTAGTGAGCTTCTAATGCAAATATCGAATCCTTTTTACAATTTTACAATTTATATTACATACATATTCACGTTCACAAGGCTTTTTGGGGTGGAATCAATAAGGCATGAGATGAGTGGTTAATTCTAGGGACTATATCCACTACCCTGGGCGGCATAAACTACATCCGCGGAAAGAAATTTTGTCAAGGAAAATAAACCTAAGAAAGCAAATGACTAACAAGCGCCAAACCCAATCTGAATTCAGTTACTCGTTCCGAACCAATCAATGGCCCTCCGCTCGCCCATGGGGCTTGTACCACTAGCTCAAAGGGCAACAACTTCTCAATCTGGTTCTCCTCATAGCTCCGTTATGGTTTCTCATTTGGCGACTTGAGACCAATCTAGTTGTTGGACTGGCTATTCAAAATGCGCAAAATGGCAAGGAACAAGTTGATAATGTCCAAATACAAGCTGATAGCGGCAGCAATCTCCTCCTCAACATGATGATGGCGCATGACAAGCTGCGTATCGACAAGGATGTAGCCACTGAAAATAAGGGCAGCGACGCCTCCGTAGATGAGCTCAGCGGTAGAATTATACGGGAAGAACATGGCCATGAAGCCGAATAGGACCAAGGCCCACAGAGCGCCGAACAGGTAGGGCATCCATGAGGTAAAGTCGTATTTGGTCTGGCATGCAAAGAGCGTGAGGAAGACGAAAATGCCGGCCGTTAGGATGACGGCGTTGAGAACGATGGACGTCTTGTAGAAGGAGACGATGACGGAGATGGAGTACGCTTCGGCCAGAGTGAAGAGCGAGAGGAAGAGCAGGTTCGTGGGGTAGGACTTGCGCTTCCAGTACGTCAGGCCCATGAAGACCAGGGCACCGATGAGCTGTGTGGTTTGGTTTGTTAGTTGGGGATGTTTTCCTTCGGGAGAGGGGCGCGGAAGGCTTTGTACGTACAGACACCCAGACGACGCCGGGGTGGGACTGGATCCATGTCCGGTAGGCATCGCTGAAGAAGGTGAGGGCGCTGACGGCTGCGGTGGCGGCCAGCTGCACCGTCAGGATGGTGTATACCTTGCGGACGAACTGGTTGCGGATGTCGACGGTTGCTTCGGCCACGGAGCCTCCAAACTAGACGGCGTTAGTGTGTATGCCGGAGAGGGAAGTTTGGGGGGGGGGGAACGGACTTTAAAGTCGTCGGGCAGGTTGTCTTCGCTGCTGCGAGGTGGTCCGAAGAGACCTTGGCTTTCGTCGCGCGATGAGGAGCCCTCTGCGTAGGCGGGTGGCGCTTGCGTGTAGTCGTCGGGGTCTTGCTGCGGCGCGGGCTGGTACTTGGTGTGAGTGGCCATGACGGCGGTTTGAGCCTATTTGGTGGTTTACGATGCGGTGATGGGCGCGTGGGAGGTGGAAGCGACGAATAAATGATGGTTTGGAGATGTTGTGGTTCTACGTGGTAGACGGGAGGGAGAGAAGTTCATAGGTGGTTATGGAGGATCATCGGGTGTGGGTTGGTTGACGTCGGTGACACGATGTCATGTGGGTGCGATGTGGGGGCTGCCTAGTGTGGCGGTGCTGGAGAATTTTGTATAGGGTAGGTAATTTGGAGTGGCGATTACGCGATGTACGCACATGGAATGTTTTGTAACCAGGCATTCCGAGTATTTGGAGCTGGTAGTGTACTTGAGCAGATTTGAATGGCCATTTATTCGTTTCATGACTTTTGAGGGGCGATTATTGTGTGTTGTCCGGCTAGGCACGTTCAACTCAATCACAGACGAACTTGCACACGTCCAACTGCCACAAAGCTTCTCCACCACACCACGAGACTTCACAGTGCACACGGCCGTTAGCTACAGCCTTGGCAACTTGTATTTACCTATACCAAACGCTAACAAATTACAGTATATTCTAGTATAGCATGTTGCGAGAATGGGCCAGAAGATGCATACTTGAGGAATTCGAGTCCCAGGGCAAGGGGCGTGATGGATGCATGCATGCATTCAACGCAGCGCAGGTCATGCATGGGCCATATGAGCATTGTTCAGGTGGGGAGCTCGCCGGACCCTATTCTGCGATGACAACATCAAATCGGCTCTTCTTCTGTCTGGAGTCCCTAGTTTTTACTTTCCCTCTATATGCCTACTAACTTGGCTCAAGACTAGCTGTCCACAGACTCTCGTCTTGGGTGAGACGGTCAATAATCTCATCGGCCGTACAATGAATCCTGTGAACCAGCTGTTATCGTGCGGTGGCTCAAGTGGCGGCGAGGGCGCATTGCTCGCACTTGGGGCAAGCAATGTCGGAGTCGGCACTGATATTGGCAAGCATATTCCGGCCAATACCCCCTATTGGGTTTGCAAGAATGTCTCTGACTACTATTGTATGGAATAGGCGGATCTGTTCGCATTCCGGCCGCATTTTGTGGAACGTGCTCTATCAAGCCATCCTGGGGGCGCTTCTCCTTATCGAACAGTCGCAAATTCTGTGAGTCCATGAGAACCCGCACTCCTGGAAGCAAACTGTTGCTAACGAGCATGCTGGTAGTCTCCCGGCCAAAGTATTTGCCCATCTGCAATCGGTTTCATGTCGACGTCATTGCTGGGCTTGAAGCTCATAATGACATCTCTGTTTTCAACAGAGCCTTGGTTACGTGACCTATCCGTCGTGCCTATGCCTTGGCGAGCAGAAAAGGAGTCTATACGTGGCAAGCTCTGCTTTGCAGTCCTACGTAATGACAGGATGGTGCAGCCTCATCCTCCAATTGCAAGAGGAATTGAAATAGTTGCTGATGCTGTTCAAAATTCCGGTCACACAGTACGTATCCTTGTTCTGTGCATTACCAAAGATTCTAATATCGAACAGGTTATTGAGTGGGAGCCATCGTCGCATGAAGAAGCTTTGGCCTTGCATGTGGAACAACTTCACTTCTTGGCCGACGATGATGGTTAATTATTGAAAAAGGACATCATTCTGGATACTGGCGGCGGCGACGATGTTTGGCGCCAGTTGAACATTTTGCATGAACCTGTGATTCCCCAGGTTTCGGAACGCTTTGGAAACGGGCCAAAAGACCCTGTTCCAACTCTTGAGCTTCTCGACATCGTTTTGAAGCACGAGGCGTATGTAGCAAGATATCTAAAGTACTGGGCTTCGACCATCACGCAAACGGGAACTGGACGAGCCGTCGATGCCGTGATTTTGCCCGTCGCTCCACATGCGGCCGTCGTTCCTGGCGAGTATTATCATTACGGTCAGTACTTGCATAGATGCACTGCGCGTTTTCGAGTCTCATCACTTGCACAGGCTACACAGAGTTCGTAAACCTACTCGACTTCTCCAGCGCAGTGCTTCCAGTCACCAAAGCAGACAAGGATATGGATGTAGCTCGTGGTGACTTTAAGCCTTTGACCCCCAAAGACGAAATCAATTGGAGAGCGTGTAAGTAGTTCGGTTTCACCGTTATGAGTGTGATGGTTCTTGCTAACACCATCATGGCAAAGATAACGCAGACACATATGCGTGCCCCGGTTTGCGTTCAATTGATGGGTCGGAAGTTCGAAGAGGAGCAAATTTTGGGCATTGCCATGAGAGGAGAAGAACTCTTGAACAGATTGACTAAGTGAGTTGTATCTACATTCTGGAATCGATTGTAGATAGTTGAAATCCGAAGCTAAAACTTTACGAGAAGATGAACCATAGCATCTTGATATCTTTTTTGTTTATTAAGTTGTTTATTCATTTGGATTGATTCACAGAGAAAGTCCTAACTGGACATGTTCACAACGTTCATAACGAGACATCTTTGAAGAGGGAGGTGACATTGTTGCTTCACAACCACAACGTACTATGACGATTGATGAAGTCTTTGCTATTTTTGATGTAGCTAACAAACATGGGCAGCCAGTGTTTAGACCTGGTCTTTTTTTTCTTCCCCATCAAATGTGTTGGTATCAAACGCTGAGCAACCACGTGGGAAAACCTTGCAAGAAAGCCTCGAGCCCTCTTCATCCCGAAACATCCTGATTGACTCATCTTGTTTGTTTGCATTCAGCTGTCGAGCACAAACACAGTCATCGCTGTCTGTTATGGAGCCCTGTGGATCAGAATCAATTAGACTGGACGGCTTCCATTAAGCAGCATTAAAACGGCTTCCGCCAGGCAAGCGGCTTGAAACAGGCTGCCAAACGACTTCGGTCACCCAAATCATGTCCTCGACCAATCGTAAAAGAGCCCCCAATCCCAGAGCTGGACAAAATCAACCAAGGACCAGTCCACTGCCCAGTTCGCTCCGTAGCTACCAATCGTGTTCCTCCTCGAAATCAGTCAAAGCGTCCTGCACGCGAGCCCGTAGGTGTCTTAGGAAGCCAACATCCGATCCGAACCCGCCAACCAGCTGATCATGAAAGTCCCCATCAACAGCCGATTTCATAAGCCTGGAGAATTGTCGGCTTACTTGGACTAGATATCTGTGTTGTCCCTTGAGAGTGGTACGTGGTGTTCCACAGCTCTGGAGCTTACTTTTCGAGGCGGAGATTTCACATTCCACAGTCTGAAGGAGACTAGGGAGCTATTTAACGTCTGATTCTTCAAGACGTTATTCAGCCGAGATTTCAACGACTTGACACCTAGTTGTTCCGGATTCATAGTGGCCCAGATTCCTGTCTTGAAAAATCTCTCCTCGGCCTCATCACGCTCAGCAGAGGTGGCATTTCTCATCTTATAATCCCTATTTTTTAGGATATACCAGCTGAGTGGAAGCACGATGTCCTTGTTTTTAGTTAGCTTTTTAAACGCCGCCTCTCTTTCGGACCCAGCTTCTGACGCGCCTGGTTTTGTTATAACACCTAGCGTCCGATAACCTCTTGGATCAAACCCCCAGGTTATTTTGGTGACTTGTTGAAGATCAAAAGGGCTCTCAGCGAGATGATGGCTAAAATGATGCATCAAGGCCACATCATGTAACCTTGGACCATCTATCTGACTATCGCCGCATCTTTGACTGACTGATCTTGGTTTCCAGCGTGTAACAGCCCAGGCAGGTCAACCATGGTGAGATGAGGCTGGGTTGGCCCACACAGCTCCACGCGAAGAATATCGGTGCTAAAAGCTTTTACTTCGGAGAGGCCCATTACCTCCTTAGCTTTCCCAATAGCAAGCTCCATATCAGGGTCGGCCGCATCGAGTTCAACGGTAAACTGACCGAGGCGTTTCTTTTCTGGAATCGACCCAACTTTCAGGCCCGGGAATTATAGACAATTTGACCGCGGATGTGTCTTATCGACGAAACAGTAACTCTGTCGCGAATCGACTTCAAAGTTGTTTCCCGGTTGGGAACTTTATACCAGAAATAGCCTCAAGAACAGGGCTTCTCCCAGAAGACTGGTCTCCACAAACAATAATTTCAGGAAACTTAAAATGTGTGTCAATACCTTGGGCCCGTAGTTTGTCGATGATGTCGAGCACGTCTCGGTGGTCTTCTGACTGCAACGTCACTGGGCCCATTGCGTCTGGTCTTTGATGTGATGTAGTTCTGAATGATTAAAATTGTACGAAGGTGGTGATGATAAATTTCTTTATAGATGCAGAAGGGTCAAACCCTTCATACACACCAACAGGACTGCTTGCTGAGACAGAGTGTTTCTAGCGCAGCAACTGGGGAGTAGCTCCCCTCTCACAGTTATGTGTTAATATGGTATGCGATGCGTAGCTGTGTCTCAGCGAATGAATTTCGTGGTGCGAAGGAAGAGGAATATACCCATGTTGAAGGTTGGATGTGTCACGATTGGTAGCTATGGAGCGAAAGATGCGAGTACCAGGCCAACAACGACTCATCGTCGATTCTCCACCGACATACTCGAAAAATGGAAGGTCTTGGGTCTACCGTTCCGCCTATGTCGACGAGGTGGAAAAACTTATGAAGCGAAGCAAAGGTCCTGAACCCCCGGGAACTTTCAACCCTTCCGTCATTTCTGAGCCTTTCGCTGAGCAGTGTAAGCTTGGCGGAATATTGCTGCCGCAGCAGAACGAAACGTTCTGGGAGTTGTATACGAGGTAATATGCGACATGGTTCAGCGAGTCACCGTTGAAGACGCTACAAGAGGAATTTTGAAGACTATCAGTACTGCTTATGAGCCATTAAGGTGCAGACTCTATGAGAAGTTCGAGGAACTGCTCCAGTAATACCGTGATAACCACTCAGGCGCTACTGAAAGAGTTGGAGTTCAAAAGACTCATAGGCACTGACAACCTCGAAATTCATAGTGTGGCAATCAACCCTCTCACCTTTTTCAATTCGCTCGAGAAGAGCACTGAAATGGCTGGATTGATTGGGGAGACACTCTCTCCTTTGCAAGGGGGGATCTATGCCGCCGTCATCTCTCTCCCCAGTGTAAGTCACGGGCAAATTTACCAAAGTCTTATAGAGCCGTGTGCAGTAGGCTAGGTACACAATGGCGAGAATTGCTCTCTGCAACGAAAGATTGAAGAAACCGCTTGTCTAGGAGTGGCTGGCACCAAGTGCACGCCGTAATTGGCAACTAGTGCAAGGCGTATGAGCTCGGTTTTTGACGAGTCTTCTGTACTTTCAAATCGAGTTTCAGGGCCATAGAGAGAAAGAGAGAGAAAGAGGTCCAAGAAAGTGCACTTGTACACCGGATATTATGGATACTAGGCCAAGAGCCTCTATTGCTCGATCTTTCCGCTCATTGACTCAAAGTTCAAGCCACTAATCGTTTGTGACGATGCTTGTTGGAAAAATTACTAACTACGCCACGGGTAACAGTACATAGAGCAGAAGAAACCGAACAACTCTACGATGGCGCCAATTCGCCCAATATGTTGTAAAAAGTAGACGGGTGTAACGGATGCCCCTGTTTAAGGTTGTATTCTGCCTCATGATTTCCTGCTGTGAGATCTATGCTGCCGACTCGTCGATGCTTGTATCGGATGCTTTAATAACTCAACTAGTACGACATAAGTTCTTTTGCCCCTTTACACATCTTTTGGCGCGACAGAACTTGTCAAACATGCCTTCATAGAGGCTCGAATTAGCGACGCACTAATTCTACGGCTATTCGTGTCAAATTCAATGGCGAACTTGATTCCAAGACTTTAATGAGTCCTATACGATCGTCCTCTGAAATGTCAAGCACCTGATGTCAGGGATCTCGCGCCCTCCCCGCTAGATTGCCTCGTTGGCTGTTGAAGCGGCCAAAGATACTCATAGAATTCTCGCCAATCTCACAAACAACACGCTATGGCAAACAGCTGAGGAAGAGATCCTGTCTTTAGACGTCGCCAATCGTCAACGTGCGGGGGGTTGCGTACGATCAGGCGTCGGACTTGACTGTCAGCCCGACAGGGCTTCGAGCAGTCACAAATCGACTGCATAGGCCTTTTCTCACCTGAATTGCGCTATTTCCCCAATCGGACAAAGACGGCATGTAAAAACATGTCCGAGGAGTGTGGATGCTTATGTTAAGGCTGCAGGAAGGTATCTTGGTATCATTCAGGGATGAGTGTGAGTACCAGCTTGTATTGGTTGGTACAACTATCGCCACCAAAACCCTCGTCGGTAGAAGAGCCAATAGTTTCATAACAGGGGACCTCCCCCGGAAAGGGGCTCATAGCCCTGTGGAGAGGATAGGAACCTGCAGCCTCGTACAGCCATGACGGCACAAACGCAGATCGGTTGAGGAAAGCGTTTCCCAAGGGAAACTTTGGAGATTCTTGTCTATTCTCAAGCAAAGAGAATGAGTTTTGTGGTTGTGTATTACCGAGAACCTGTGTATTATGCAATAGATGACATATGATACTCATCTTTACAGGACTTTGAGTGCCCGAGGACGAGTTCAAGTCACGACCAACGACCACTTGGGCAAACAAGGCCATAGTAAACCAACTTTGAGGTGTTGACTGGTATTGATTCTAAGGTGTATTCACAGTTATTCTGTCTCGCCGCCAGGCTTATCCACTTGCCAGTGATCCCAACTCAGTGGCTGTACAGGCCCTTGTCCTTCGCTCTCATATTCATCCGTCCTGTAACCAGACCCAGATTCCCTAGCGAAAGGTTGCATGTCAACTTGAGAGGTTGCTGTAGATGTACTTGCCGCAAAAGGCGTCATATCTGTTTGTGCAGGGTATTGCAACTCTTGTCTTCTTATACCTGTACCGCTTTCCTCGCGGTACTCGCGGTACTGAGTAGTGATCATAGACGAGTTTGGTGGGCTCCTTGAGAGACCAGTTCTTGTATATTGATTAGGCATTGTATAGTTGACAAGATTTTGACTCGTCCCGGAAGCTTCACCAAAGTCATCCGCCACCGAGGATGAGGAAAGGGTCATCAAAGATGCCATCGGATTTCTGTCATCAACAGGCGGTATGCCTTCAGACAAATATGTTGACGATGCCTCGGTATTTAGAGGGTCTGCTGGGTTTGGGGCATTTACTCTGCCGGCGACAGGGATCCCACCAAAGTTGGAATTAGCAGGAAGGGGGGATACGCTCGTTGAGCGAAGCCGTATTAGCTCTATCTCTAATTCTTGGTTACGTCTAATCAGCTCTTGAATGACAGCGCTTTCATTCCCGCCATCCTCAGGACGTATATTTCTGAGACTCTCTAGTTCTCTTTCTAGATGCTGAATATGCTGTCTGGTCCTTGCGCGACTGGCTCTTTGGCTCCTGCGGTCATTTGCCCTCTTGCGCTCACGCTGGGCCACTGTCATGCCAGAAACAGATCGATTGCCTAAATTACGGATATCGTGGGTTAGGAAAGATGAAACTTAATCTGTGTAAAAGGGAGGGCATCTTAGTGCACCAACGAGTTCTCCTAGAGCTTTCTCCAATTTCTGGTTGCAGCATATCTTCTAGTGGCGGTGGTTCTGACATATTTGGCTCCTGGTTCCCAATAAATGCTCGGTCTTTGGAACAGAATTAACTAATTGGATCCAATAAAAGGATACTCAGGGTTCCCCGGCTTCGTGAGGCTTGTTGGATGTCCTAGATGCATCGTTGCGCCTAAGCTCTACTAATAACGGAAATAAAAAAAAAGGCATACAACGAGTCATGTATATAGACGATGACTTCATGTATTATTCATTGTTCTTTTTTTTTTTCTGTATTCAATCATCTGCCCGACGCCGAAACCGTCGCTAGGTGAACCTCCGGTCCGGGCACATCGGCCATACCAGGAATAAACATGGTGTGGACTGAGCACGCATGATGGGAAAGGCTCTAAAACAATTGATGGGTAACACGACCTGCTAAACCCTTGGCCCTGTTGCTGGCCCAGGCCCGCCTCAGCGAACGCCTGTTCCTCGTCGAGCTGAACAAAAGACATTACCGAATGGCGGAACCCGATTCAGGCACAGGTGTGTATTCGCTCGTTCGTATGCTGGGCTATTGTACTACCCAACGACAGTGAGCCGAGACATGGGTAGGTGATCGGCGTGGCCGCAGGCTGTCTAGAAGTCTCTCACATACCTCTTTCAGATCCATCTTGTAAGTCCGGTAATTGGCCAATAGAAGAAAGGTGCTTTCGTTGGAAGGACTAAAGGGTGCTTGGGTGTGTCGAGAGCACAGCAACAGTGCATCTAACTCGATATCACCGGAGTTTTTCCTTTGGTGTGTGCCGAGTACATCCGACGACATCAACTAACAACCTTGGAAGGCAGTTGCATCTAACGATCTACTATGCGTGTCAGAAAGTGGAGATGGTGGCTGAAAAGCTGGGTGCTGAAAGCTTACTTTTGACGCAACATCGCATAGGCAGGGTCGCTGCCAAAGATGCAACGTCCGACAAAACGTGCTGTTGGTCATCCCATGATTCCCATCCTCCCTGGACCCTAGTTGTCTACCAAGGTCGTCGGCGCCGAAATAGCGCCATGGCCACCTCGTGGGTGGCGGTATCACTGCAGCCTAGATCTCCATCTTTGGTACATCTCGATTAAACGATGAACGACATCGGAAGTGTGGTCTTCATCAGATGGATGGGCCCTGAGGAGAAAATGGACATGGGGAAAACCCTGAACCGGAGCCCCAGTCCGTGGTTTATGCCCGAGGCTTGACGCTGTGGTACGCGGACGTTGCCGATATTAAGCAACGTCAACGTGCAGTTGGCATGTCTGTGGTGGTGGTGCAAGACGAGATGAGATGCGCTTTGCTTCGACCCTGTACTCGACACCGAGAGTGCCGCCCCACGTGCAGCAGATGTGCGTTGCTCCTGCCTCGACCTGAGCAGGCCAGTCCTTCCTTGTCTGGCGGCTCCGAATTACCGGCGCAAGGTGCAAGATGATTGAAACTTGACCGTTGAGAAATGGGCAGGTACGATCAAGCCGTTTTTGGAAGATATCCACCTCAAGCAAACACAACATTAGGCATGCAGATAACCGAGCCGACTTTTTCACCGCGTTGCCTACGTTGGCAGCGACGAACTCTGACGATCTGACGTCGAACACCTGCGATGCACGGGCAATCTGACACTCGACACCTATTTTTGACGTAAATAATTCTCCGACACGACCAAGCCAATGCCTGCTCTGGCATTTTCGCCGTTCCTTGCTTCTCTCGCAAGGTGGGACTGGCGGTTCAACCCGTTCCGCTGCCAGGTGAAGGAAGGCCAGGCGATGTCCGGGTCGGCAACACCGACTCGTCGGATATGATGACTGCCAGAGTTCAGCACCCGTCGGTAAATGTTGGCCATCAAGGGTCATGGTCGCCGTTCGCCTACGATTTTAGCGACCGTTTGCGCCAACTTGGCTATCACGTTGTGCAGGAATTAAGATCATGCAAATCATCTTTGCATGACGAAATGAAGGGGAGGAGAGGGAAATGAACGGTCCTACCGTACCCGCCATGAGTTCTGGTTGCGGCGGGTGCCATGCACTGAGTACACCAGGCAATTCTGCTATTTGCTCGGGGATCTCAGGCTGCGTCCCCGACAAGAGGCCAAAGATGATTCTTGGTTCATGAACGCGGGATTTGAGGCGGTTCTTTGCCAGTGGTCTAGTTGTTACGAGATGGATTCAATCCCGCTGCCCACATACCAGACGAGGGATGTCTGCGTGTTTGAGACAGCCAATCCGCCAACCGCATGCATCTAGGAATCTACTATGGCATCGTCCGACGGCGAAGTCTTTCTTTCACTAGGAGACGTTAACGTGCTAACGCCTATCCCCGCCAACCCATGTTGTCTGAACTGTACCGAGTTGCGTACTACCCATGACGGCAGGCAAGTCCCGGGCTGCAGGCATGGGGAAAGTGACCTAGCTCGAGGTGGATGCCCTGTCTGGATCCTGAAGTATTGATGCATCTCAAGTTCACGAGGATAGGGCTCGGCGCCCTCCGAAACTGGCGGAACGGGCACAGTTTGGTATGTTGAATGCAAGCGAAATGCTCACCACAACAAAGCACGATGCCCTCGGCCACCGAGCCGTTTCTTTTCTCCAAAACACATTCTATCCAATCATCTCTTGGATAATTGTGCCTTAGATGCCAATCCATGCGGTGAGAAGAAAGTCGGCCAGCTAGTTTCCTGTCGTGTACCATTACCATGAGAGCTGTGCATTGTGTGAGACTCTGAAAGGTGGCTCTTTTGAGTGAGTGGTCACCTGGTCAACCTTGATCAATCAAAACCACACCCGCCAGTCTTGAAAGAAAGGGTGAATGATCCAACTGGCCATTTTGATGAGCGAAAGGACGAGGCGGAGATGGAACGCCTTGAACCTGACAATGAGGCTTGTCGCAACCGCCACATGGAATGGACATTCAGCTGAAGCAAAAAGCTCGGAGACAAACAAAACAAGAAGCTAGGCCGTCTCTCACCGCGAGTCAAAACAATGCACGGATTGCAAGTACAGAAAGGTCAGGCAAAGTGACGGAGTGACGGACACTTCAGCGTTCCATGTGGAACCCCACCGTTTTCCCCACGAGAAACCTTCAACGGGCTTCATCCAAGTCGCTGCTGCAGACATGGAGGAGCAGAGAGGGTGGTTGGGTAGCACCTTGACTCGTACTACAGAGTCCGGAGTCCGGAGCAGTTGTAGGGGTAAAATTCCCGCCCCTGCCCGTGCCGGTAGGTATGAAGACCAGGGCATGTTGTAGCTGAAGCCTGAGAAACGAAGCCAGGGTAAACGCGATTAAGCGCGAACAGGTCTCTGGAGCCCAAGTTGGTACTTGTTGTCTGTGATGGCAAGGGTCAGGAGCGACCCCAACGCCGTGGAGTGGAGGAGGAGGGTCTGGTCCACCATGAAGAGATATATCATTGATCACCCAGACTTTAGCTGCATCCCGCCCTAAGATTTGCACGGGGGTATGGCGATCGTCGTGGTCAAGTGGTTCCTTGTATGCTCTCCTGATTGTCTTGATCTCAATGTCGACTTCGACTTGATGAATGTAGAATTTGGTTCGGGCGTCTCGGATAGGACAAATTCCTTGCGCTTTTTCTCGCACCTGAAAGGGTTATCCAACGCACCGAGTATGTGTGCTGGAAATTGAGCTTGTCCTGACACGTTTACCACCTTGGCCTCCCCCACGGCAGCATATCGCTCCCCTTGCAGCCTTACTGGTAACAGGTGGCTAACGCTGGTCAATGTTGGGCCCCGGGCGGGAGGGAAGGGGGTTTGCCTTTGTCACTTCACCTTCACCATGTTTGAGCTTCTATTTCAGGACAGGCAGGAGATGGAAGCCTGCCAGAGGGGTGACGCGACAGCCACATTGTCAGTGCGTTGTCACCAGAGGTACCTTATCCTTGCCTTTGCTTCGCCTTTGTTTTTTACGAGCTCTTTGGTTCCGCGCGGATCTATCCAGATTTGATTGCAATCCGGCAAGGTGAGGTTGAAGAGCAAGCCCAGATGTAACCCTCCACCTGTTGGGCAAGAGGTGAATCTACCCGACAAAGTACTCAGCCCTTTGGTGGGAAGACGCAGGCCATGTCGTGCTACCAGTGATGCCGTGCGCCATGGATGATGAGTTGCTGTTGGGGCGCTCAGTCTTTCCCTATTCAGAGGCAGAAGTACCGGAACGGTAGGGCTCACAACAGTCATGTCGACGTATTCGGAGTGGCACAAGCAGGAATACCTGTTTGTGATGCTGTGGATGCCTCCCCATCTGCATACCATGGAGGCAGTGTTTTGGTCAGAAATGACGGTGACCATCCAAGGTGACCATCCAAGGATGAGTGGCGGAAAGACCCCGAACCACTTTACGCCAGCTTCCCTTCTCCGGCCTCCCTAATGTTCCCAACTCAACGTGAACGAGGCATACATAAGCCCAGGCATTGACTTCTTGGATAAAAGAGACGCCAACGTGGATACTGATGCTATACCCCTTCCTCGCTTGCTATGCTAACTAGCATCGTCTTGAATCATCAACACTTTCTCATATTATTATGTCCTCCGCTTTAAGGCAGAGCACTCCTGAGCAAGTGAACATTAACATGACCAGATCAAGGAGTAAGTCCACTACCAGAACTTTCTTTGGTCGCTCTGCTTGAACACAACTGACTTGTCCCGCTCATTTTGGGTTGAAACAGAAACCCTATCCCCGTTGCAGCTCGAGCACAAGCGGGCTCACGATCGTGAAGCTCAGAGAGCTAACCGCAGGAGAGTCAAGGAAAGAATTGCTCGACTGGAGCAAGAACTAGAGGAGAAGCGGGGTCAGTTAGGGTCTAACAGGGTCTATCAAGAGCTCCTCCGACGAAACCGACTTCTTGAGGAGGAGGTAGCGAGGCTCAAGAGCACTCTTACTACCTCCTCAGGAGCGGGGTTTTCACCTCCAGGCTCATCTTCGGGCTCTGTTCCAGAAGGAGGTGGATTCGACTACGATAGCTCAACAGACTATTCACCCAACGACATGTATCGCTATCTCATTCCACACTTCGACTTCCCTAGTATGACAACCCAACTTCAACGTTGCGACGCCGTAATGGCCAAAGGTAACCATTCACTACCTACCACCCTGGATGGCATCGATGTCGGCAGTCCGACAGCCCTCTACAAGTCCTCTTCTATTACCTGTCATACACCAGAGACTGCGAGCACCAACATCTTCCATCACGTCGACAACTGCGCGATTCCCGCCTATGGTGTGGATACCCCGACGGCCAAACTCGACGGTTTACAGAACGGAATGCATGTCAGAAGTGGACTATGGAATAATACGAGGCGACATCACGATGAGGGTCGCAGCGACAGTCGTTGTGGACTCCAAGCGCAAGTTGTTGCTGGCGGTTGGGATAGCAATCCAACTCACAAAATGAATATGCGGTCCTACCAAGGTGAAGCGTGCTTTTTGGCGAGTTCACCTACATGGCAGCATTTTCCAGCGTACTATACCGGATACGACATGAACAGCCACTGACTGGCACGTCTCTGTGGTTCTAAATCGACCTTACAACTAATGGTATTACAAAGACAGCGTCGATGTCATCTTCTCTACATTTGTCTCGTGTCTCTGCAACTGGAATAGTCTTGCCCATGTCCAAGCAACTTTGCACCAACAAGCCAATGCCAGCACGAACGCGCGAAACTCGGCCATGGCGTGAATGAGTTCCTCTGAAAAATAGCATGCCTCGCGGCCCTTACACGCAAATTCCCGCAGTAAGCTACATGGTAGCGGTGTTTCCCATCAAGAAGCAACTTTAGCCCATGGTCGAGATACAATCTATGAGGGAAATAACTAGTCGATACGAAGCATTGCACCAGGCGGGAACCAGGCTCTCTCCAAGACGAACGTGATGGAGCTAAAATAAAAAGGAGTATGCCACGTCATGAAATCCCTCAGGAGATAGGACGCAGTCCGCCCAACTCTCGTGGCCCCAACCTGCAACTGTTCTGCCTACGCTGCCACTTACACCAAGATTGGAGTAGACGGTCCTCAACAGCTGAGCTGCTTCAGCTGGCTATTTGAGGGCACAGACTACGATCGAAGAACTCTTGATGTTCTCTCATATACATGGAATGTTTTGAGTGATGCAGAGCAATGACGCGTCTTCGAGCATGGAACCAGCGAGGTATTCTATGTGGCTTGCTTGCTCATGAATCTACAGTTCCATCTAACTAGCTTTCGACTGTGGAAGGTGTAGCGCCTCGGAGAGGTTGACGCAGTACGCGAGCTTGGCCGAAAGACAAGCCAGACGATTGTCAGTTCTCGTACTGAGGATATCAACGTTTGGTGGCTATGCTGCGGAGTTACTCCTTCATTGATGTGTATCAGATTAGCATTGGTGTTTGCTCCGCGACGATGGTTTATTGATTGAGGCTGACAGGGGTAAATGTGGTGACGCCTGGCCGAAAGACCATAGCCTAGCTACTGCGGCTTTGTTGATCCCTGACAGGGGCCTAGGCTCTATTGAATCATAGCACATAGTGGAAGATACGTGTTATGAGATACGAATACATAACACACACCACAAGTCCGGTCCTTGATACAGTGTGCGGCATGACCCAAAGGAAAGACGCTGCAGCGGCTATGTTTAGCACAACAAAATACATCAAGTACGAGCACGCTTATATGCAAGCCATGCCGGTGGCGTCACTCGAAACGGCCCTAAACAGGTAGTACCAACCGCCAGCGGCATCACGTTTCACAGCCGGCCGTCAGCCCCAGGTCAAAGGACGAAGCACAGGCGCGGCAATAGAGTAACCGTCGGGTCAACGGCCCAAAAAGGGTAAATAGGCGACCAGTCGGAGACGTCCGTGTCAGTCAGCGAGCTTCTCAAGCCCACCTGCCGAATTGGTCAAACACGGTCCGTTCTCACGGTAAGGGTTTATGAGGGTTTACCTGGTGGCAAAGGGTGCAGCAGCCCCTTTGGTGAACGGCAATAGATGCCATATGCCGATTGCTGGACCGAGGGGCCGGTCAGCGTCCGGGGAGGGTTGCAGTCCGTCATGTCATGTCGCAGCATTGGGGGCAGACAGCTCAGCCTCGTTCCATGTGTTGTCGGGACTCGTGGGAAGATTCAGCTTGTTGGTTGAAGCCTCGAAGCATGTCAACGAGATTTGCCCCCATGTCTGGAAGGGTTCATAAATTAAATTAAGATGCAGTCTGGTGGAGTTGGACCTTCCAAACGCACTAATTTCTTGCCTTTTACCAGAGATTACCGTGGAATGGCCAAACATACTCCGTTGCATCAATCTTTGGAACTCTCAGAGTTCGATTCCTGTCGAAACTCTTTTTACATTTTTTTTGTCGTTAGTCATTCGATACTCAACATGGACTGCATAGGAATTTGATTCGTTTTATTTGATTTTTTTATTTTCTTGAGTGCATTATTGTGCCATTATAATTTTAATTCAAGAAATTTGCGTAGTTACGTTTCGGAGTGATGAAGCTCACTGCGACGACCATAGAGTGCATCGCATCTCAAGGCAAGTAAATCTGAGCGCACCACGTTTGTCAATTCTGTTTCCCACATTTTTCTCTCCCAACTTGTCATATGACATCTCTAAGCTCAGTCTCAACTGTGATGTTGGAGGACGTCAAGTCATGATGTGCCGCCGTCGTGCTCAAAAGGGTAGTAGGCTGGTTGTGAGGGTTCCATGGACAGGGTGCGTTTAGGGGAGCTTCAAGCCCAACATCTACACAATGAACAAGACATATAAATCATCATGTCAAATACTTTGCACTGGAAGCAATTCCAGTGTTTCCTGCCCCGTGAGAACCAGTCCTGAAAGCGCCACATGTGCAGACTGGCGTCTTACCGTAGTGCGACCAGCAATGAAGGCGACGCGCTTCAAGCACTTGCAATGTTTGGCGAGCACGAACGCGCATCGCAAACCGAATCAGCGAGTGCAAAAGTTTGGAATCCGCGGCCGGTCACAGGTCATGTATCGGGCCCTCGTCACTGGTCGATAATGCCTTGCAAGCATGGGCTTTGCCTTCGCAACTCCGTCATGAGCACATGGGGTCATTCATGGACTGTGGTGGGATGGCGGGGTACCTTGCTTGGTCCATGGTCATCGTCACGACTCACGACATTTCAACGGTGCCTGATCTTGCTCCAGACGCCACCATCTGAAGCATCTCACGAGCTGTAGTCAGCCCCCCGAAACCAGCCATGTCTGCCGCAAATGCCAAAATTCTATCCACGGGCCCTCTGGTACGGCGATTACCCTGAAACGACCTCTAATTTGTGAACGCCGACTCACCAGCGCGCCCGCAGCCTGACAACGAGGCACGATGGATCAAGTTGGTCAAGTACGACGGCCGGGAAAAAAAAGGAACATGCCCCATGCAGCCATTCACGCAATCCGGCTAACCTATTTCTTGTTTAGAATCAACTACCGAGATGCCAACGGCACCCCTCGAACCTGGGAATCCGCCGAGCGAAGCACACGCCCTGCCAACACGGAAATCGACGGCGTCGGCATAGTGGCCATCCTCGACAAACCTACCGGCAAAGAAATCATTCTCCAGAAACAATACCGCCCTCCAATAGGCATGGTCACGGTCGAGGTGCCCGCCGGTCTCGTCGATGCGGGTGAGTCGGCAGAACAGGCTGCTGTGCGGGAACTACGTGAAGAAACAGGCTACGTCGGCGTGCCCACGGAGACGTCGCCCGTCATGTACAATGACCCGGGCTTCTGCAATACCAACTTGCGAATGGTCCACATGAGCGTGGACATGAGTCTGGCGGAGAACCAGAACCCCAAGCCGCAGCTCGAGGACGGCGAGTTCATCGAGGTGTTTACCGTCAGGCTGGCCGACTTGTGGGATGAATGCAAGACGCTGGAAAAGCAAGGGTGCGCTATTGACGCGCGGGTCGGGACCTTGGCCGAGGGAGTTTTGCTGGCCAAGAAGTTGGCGCTGTGAACACCATGATGAGAGCTCACGTCTCGTTAGACTTGGTGGACTTGTGTGTGTGACGATAGAACTAGATTATAGAGAGACGTGACTAGTTTTCCTGCTACTGCTTTGTGTGTTTCAGCTTCTTCTCTCGCTCCAGTGCCTCCCATAGAGCCAGCGCACCCAGACACTTTGCATCCCGAGCGCCTTCCTTCCAAAGATCCTTCATGGGAACAAGCTTCAGCGTGATCTTCTCCCCCTCTGATCGCAGCCCCGTCAGCCGCCCGTTCCACTCGCTCAGCTGCGATCGGGGAATCCTCCGCTCGCAGCTGAATATCGTGATGTGCTCGTCACAGCCGCCCGCGCTGGGGAACATGGCCGTGGGAAGATGCTCCTCGTCGTCGTCCTTGTTCTGACCCGCCGCCTCTGCCGCCAAGTCGTTGAGACACACCAGGTCGTTCTCGTGGATGGTGATGCCCAGCTCTTCCTCAATCTCCTTTGCCGCGGCGCCCTTGAAGCTCCCCGCGTCGTCGACCATGCCGGCGGGGAGCTCGACGAAGCTCAAGCTGCCCGCCGGCACGCGCGGCTGCACCGTGAGCACGACGTAGCGCTCGTCCGAGTCTGGCGCAACGTCGTCCGGTATGAGCATCACCAGCATGGCGACGCTGGGCCCGCGGAGGAACGCGCTGGCCGGCAGCTTCTCGCCGGCAGAGTTGCGCACCGATGCGGACACCTTCATGAAGCCGATGCGTCCATTGTCCCAGAGATCAAAGGACTGGACGGTGATGGAGCGCAGACTGTACGGGTCCCTGTGGAAGGGGTGGCCTGGGCCGGATTGCCGGGTGAGCGACTTGTTGAGAGTCTCTGTCCATTGCTGCCAGGTTGTCAGCGACTGCTGCTCGTAGAGTTTGACATTGCGATGGATTAGAAAAGGGGAGGCCTCACGTCGAATGGTCTAAAGGACAACAACTGCTCCTTGCTCAAACCCGCGGGGAGGTGAACGGGCACGTTTTCCAGGACGTGTATTGTAGACATGCTCTTGGCTTGCGGGGAGCCGATCGATCTTGCGGGTGGTTTTCTTGGGGCCAGATTGAGACGCCAGTGTTTTCTAAGGGTAACGGTGGCGCTGCTCCAGATTTTCATCATCAAGAGGCGGTAGTCTGTGAGAGTGAAGTGTGAGTTTGTGAGTTGCGACGTTGGCTGTGCTCCACATTTGACGGACCAGACTTTATAATTATACGTATGTCATCGATGCTGGCATGGCGCTCGACGACAACAAAGAGACAACAAAGAGAACGTGGGACGAACACGCAAAGTACACACAAGGTACAGAGGCCGCGATTCACCGTATTACTAGGAAAAGCGTCATTTTTCGCAGGTTTCATCCATGTCAAAGCAGTGGTTTGCGCAGCTGCGGTTATTTGCCCATATTACCGACATGGTGTTTCGGATACATGAGCTACCATTACTATAGTAATTTACGTCGATGCTGTAATGAAATACAGACATGGCATTGGCTATATGGCTGGCCCCGGAGTCTAGATCTTCACTCACTGTTTGACTCAGCCGTCGTCTCCCATATCATCGGCTACGTGACCCCTTTGGTAGCGACCGGAATGCAATTCACAGCGAGGCTATGAGTAAGCAGAAGCCGGGTCTCGCCGTACTGGAGCGCGCTGCACAGGACCATGAAGGAGTTGGCACCGATTTCAGCACAAAAAGTCCAAATCCAACGATGAAACTGTCAAGTAGGAACCCGCTGTACGAGTTGATGATGGCAGAAGGCAAGAAAATGATGGTACCTATACCATAGATACATAACCCGACGATGAACACCAGCTTGAAGCCACCAATACTCCAGGGGTGATCCGTGTCGCTCCTTGAGCGGTTGTTTTTGCTTCCACAGAGAGTCCACTGGCCTACAAACAGAAAGGGCCAAAGAAGTGACCGCTTCCAAAATATGTACTCGTTAGGCCTAGGCTTTGGACAGAGTCATATGGTTCATGGCCGCAATCGTACTGTTTGAGGTGTCAACGAGGCTGTATAATACAACCCAAATGAAGAAAGAAGGCTGAAGCTACGGCGAAGAATATAAACGACTCAATGGAATTGACAGCGAGCATACGCTTCGGCTCAGCCGTCGCGGTAGAAAGGCTACCGCTTGCTCCGTTCTCGAAGGTAGGTATCGTACCCGACTTCTGGCTTCAGGACGCTGGCGTCGAGAGATGACACGAATTTTTAAATAATCCCAAATTCGTGTTCTAGCCGAATCGTGCAACCCGCCCGAGGACCTTGAGGACAATTTGTGGTTTGAGGATAGGGACACATACAGCGTTATGCCGACGTTGACTTCTACGACGCTCCACATCAGGGACAGGGACGCATACCAGCCGAAGTCGGTCTGGTCGCCAAAGTTCGTAGGCGAATGTTGGAGCATCAGCTATGGCCATCTGCAGGTAGTAGATGTGAATCGAGCGCCAAGATAACGACAAGGATCATCTTCTGCCGAGATGGTCGTTGCAGGTGGGCGAGGATAGGGATTGTTATAATGCCAATCGCTAGGTCATTGATGATATTCACCGGTGCCGGCGCATATAAGCTCCGTCAGGAGAGTTATACAGATAGCATTCTCAACGCCAATCGTCCATCCAGCTCGGACAGGGCTGCAGAGATAAACGTTTATAGCCGTGAGAAGAAAATCGGCAAGATTAACAACCAGAAGCTTGCCTAATGAGGCATGCCGTAGAAATGTCTGAGTCTCCTTTTTCGACGCGCGGATAAAGGGCAAAGACGCTGGTTGGTTGTCATCAGAGCAGGGTTCTGGAAGTACCATGCATATTAGCGATAGGAGTCGCACGGCCTCCTATGTTGGGATACTGGATTTTAACCCTAGCGGAAGCATTTAATGCTTCAACATATAAAATAGGGAACACGTATCCACGGCGTCTTAGAGTGACCCTGTTATAGTCTGAAATATCATCGTCATGCGTCCACAGGCCGTTGGCGAAGCCAAGATCAACTATAGATGAGAGGAAAAGGCAATAGGCCAGGCCAGCATCACAATCTCGGCGTCAGAGCCGATATTACGAACAATGCCGTACCGGCAAATGATGCGTGCCCTGACGAAGAAGGACGAAAAGACGAAGGTCACAGTCGTGACGGCAAACACAGCAGGGCCACGATCCGCGGTGTTCTTGTCCATAATCGAAGCGGATCAGTTGACGGAGGCACTGGTCAGAGTCCCTGAACTGAGGCTGGTATATGGACGGAGACAAAACAAAGTGTTATTGAACGCGGGAGGGTTTTGAAGCTAGTTAATTCAAAATGGCTGAGAAAAGCCCGGAATATAGAAGCACACAAGACTCATTTTTCCTTTCCCTTCGCTCTCACTCTCACTCAAGAGTTCTAAACCTCTGGTTGAATTGCAGTTGACGCCACCGTTATAACTCACTCCTATGGTTATGACCGGGAGCGAAGCTGCGGCCGGCGTGCGTTTTCGTTCTTGGGCTAATGGATTCTTGATTGGGTAATCTCTAAAAAGGGAAGGTTTTCGGCTCTGCTGCCTAGAAAAAATGCTGCCAGGTAATACGCGGCTGAAGGAACAGCTCACACTGCGGCTGAGAGAGGCAAAACCGTCATTTGGCGGCGAATCCCATTCCCATCCAATGTCGCATTGACCTGACAGCGTCCGCTGAAACTAATAGTGTGCGACGTCGAGCTATGCCTGTCTGGTACCGGGTGTATAGCCAACGTTGACACGTCTCGCCGCTGTGTTGTGAAGTGTTTTACCACAGCCGTCCCTGATGCCTCAGCCCTATATGTACTCGGGAAGAGGAAGCAGGAGCGGCCAATCTGATATCGTTAACGCGAGTCGTCTTTGGCCGTGCTCAGCTGAATGCAATAAATAAAACATGGGGGTTCGACACACTGGTCTAGCAATATTACTCGAATCCAAGGGCTTGCGGACCAATGCGCCAGGCACCACAAAAGAGTGTTGCAAGCCGGCCCGTGTTGGACTTGGTCTACAATATATGATTATTCCTGTGAGCGCGGACCTCCTGGGGGGGCCTTCAGCTGTAATGGCGCCGCAAAATTCCTGTCCATCTTCTCGCCTCGGTGCCAGTTGTTCCATGTCCATTACGCGTCGCCCGTCTCCGCGCCATCTAGAAAGTTTTCCCTGTATGGGAAGGCAGTGGGAGGCCTTTTTTCCCACGGGGGGTGAAATCAGTAATAGCGGATGTACGGCACTTTACGATACGCCGCATCTTCTTGTGATGAGCTTTTTATGCTTGTGGCTGTGATATGTCTGGTGTAGCCCACGGCTATGGCAGAAGGTACCACGGCAAAATCCGCGTCCCGTGTTAACATGCGGCTCGGATCGAATGGACGTACTCTATGTTAGTCTCTTGGGCTCAGAGAGAGCAGCGAGCAGTTTAAGGAAAATGTCCTATTTTTGTCAGTAAGATTCCCAATGCGTAGATATTCCGTTGGGGCATTGCAGATTAAGTACTAGGAAGTAATACTAATCGAAATGATAAATATTCAAGCTGTGAAAAAGCTCTAATTTAGTAGGCCTATATCTAAATATAATTGTTATTTGTCTGCGGAAGACGAAACAGCGATTGCTAATGATTGCCGGTATTTCCGGAAAGCTGTGCAAAGGGCAAGAAGACAACGATAAACGCTTGAATCGGTTGTTCAGCTTCGGTTAGGACTTCACGTACAACAGAACAGGGGCCTCTTTCCTATGATTCGCACAGAGAGAATACATTCAACTGCCGAGTGGAGGATTTACGGGGCTGTCAGGATAGTTCTTTCAATGAACAGCCATCTGCCTGGCAGAGTTACACGGCTAAGGCGAATGTCGGCCATGATTGCTCTTCGTATGATCAACACGCACCAACGATGAGTCCTTTGCTGCGCCCTTCCTCCAGTGCTATATCCTTCCTTCGGAAGACTACGAGGGGACTCTGGAGAAAACGGGACATAGTACCCTGTTGGGCGTGGAAATAATGTGGGAACAGTTGTGTTCCCTGAAGCTTCGGGGCGGTACTCGGCTGGCGGAGTAGGATGATCCAAGACCAATCACGTAGAACGCAGTGCAGATTGTAAATATCACAAAGGGCTAAAGATGCTGACGCAAGTACGTTTACGTCTCGCAACGCAGGCTGGTGGTTAGAGGTCGCGCACGACGCACCCATGATGTACGGGATCACAGGATATAGTAGAGGCTGACCATCCAGCAACCAGAGCCATTCTATCCTATGGTGCAGCACAACTAATAGTCCCATCATGTTAGAAATGCCAGCCAGTTGCTCCCACCGCGGTTGGGTGGTGGCGTCAGTGCGACGAGCCCGGATCTGTATACTCACTTGTCGCTTGAACGTTATAACTTAAAAGATAATGCTTTATAACCCCCTATAATACTCGCTGTAACACGAGATATAGAGCCCCCGTAACCCTTTACAACCCTCCAGATGTCGCTAAACACGGAATATAGAGCCCCTATAGCCCCTAAAATACAGGGGTTTTCAGTGCTAGGCTTGTTGGAAGCCCGCTGTGTGGCGAGCTAGTTGATAGCTGGCCTTGTTATCTAGATTTCGGTTGACAAGATATTATTTTTAAACACTTTAGAGAGAGTCTAAAATACAATTTATCTTAAGATAGTAATTACTTTAAACCGCCCTGAATTGACACCCCTAATAATATCTTTGCTACCTGGTTCATTCTGTGAACCTTATCCACTGTGAATGGACCATATTCTTGCATCGTAAGAAATGCATTATCGTTAATTTTGAGGTTTTCAACTCTAATATAGTCGACATAATCATCGCTCAAGGTCGCAATGTTCAAATAGATCTCATGCCGATCCTGGGAGACAAGAAGACGCCTGTGCTTCTGGCTGTTAGATTTCGATGGAGGTGGATTCTCCGCGATCCAAGCCGCCATTTGGGCAGACTCTTGCATCCGGATTGGGCCAGACGAGCCGTCATCCCCATAGCGAAGGAATGATTTGACCTCCATAATAGCCGCCGGATGTTGACTTTTGTTCAATCGCAGAAGGCCATCAACTCTCACTTCATAGATCTTCTCGTTCGTGTTGGCGCTTCGCACTATGAATGGGTGCCGTCGAAGAGTCCATTGTCCCAGGCTGTCCTCGCAATGAAGCGTGAGGGCGTTAAGAAATAAAACCAGGGCCGTATTGACGATTGCTTCGTCCTCAATTGCTTGGTACACTTTTGCACCATCTCCTGATATGGGCGAGTGTTTAGAGAGTTCACTCAAGGGGCTATCGTCTGACAAGTTCATGTCGCTCATGGCCTCGTTGATATCTTGGTCAGATGTCACTGGGCCTTTTGCTGGACCACTTGGACCACGTGTAGGAGTCCGGGGGGACCGGCCTTCTGGCCATGACTTCTGAGGCGCCTCGGTGAGAACTCGACCTTGGGCTGATACATTGGCGCTTCGATTTGCGTGAGTGACAGTTGCTGGTAGTACCGGACCAGGGCAAAGGAACCTTGTGCGGTCCCACGGCCTGTGGCCGCATTGAAAGGGGGCAAGAATGACTCCTCATAATGTTTCCAAGACTGTAGCCCCTCTAAGCTGCTCTTTGCCTTTTTGAGGATCCTGGGGGTAATCCATCCTTCAATTTCACAGTGTTTGTCGAACTCTTCAGCGTCAAGGCGAGCGTTCCAGAGGGTACGCAGAAGGAGAAACTGCTCATATGCAATCTTAGAGCCAGACTCGCATTTCACATTTTGAGATGACGAATTGTGGAGGGAGAACTTTGTTACTTGAGACCTCCACTGATGGACCGTCTTAGGAAACTGAAAAGACATGTTGTGAGAAAATGCGTATTGTTAAACAACATAAGTGGCATGAAAATTATTGATATGAAAGCAAGCGTTTCATTGGCGCTCAATGAAAATAAAGAAGGGATGCTTAGTGTAGGCTAAGCCTTCCACGATCCATGGTGCATTAAGGCGTTTTATAACCCTTTGCTATTAGTATTCTTGAAGTCCATCTCTTCTAAAGTTGGTCTAAGCCTCGTTTCGAGAGAACGGCGGCAAAAGGGAATGATCACTCTGCCAATTATAGACTGAATGCGACCAATCCGTTGTCCCAGGTGAAAGGTGACAGTCAGCCCACCAAGCGCTTAGGGCGAATTTCTAATGGTCGCAGGTAGCAGGGCCGATACCTGAGCAAGGGAAGCTTGCAGGCCCAATAGTGAGCAATAGACATGATAGAAGGACGGTTGTGATCCATGTTAGTTCCATGCGGCCTGAACTGCGGGGGCGATTATAAGCGCGTATGCCAGCCTCAGGTAGGGTGTAAAATATTGCGGTTTTGGGTACCCATGGGTCTCCCTGTGACATATATATGCACCTAAATTTATAGTACTGCTACATAAATTTTTACCCATGGGTACCCATTTTTACACCTCAACATTGCCAGGTGGTTCGATTGGTAGTACGCGCGCCGCTGCGACCGCGGCTTATGTCACCAGTTGACCTCCCCAGACCGCCCGTCAATGGTCATGGTCGACTCGTCATATAAACCAGCAAGATGCCTCCGCAAGCCAGCCGCACGGCCTGGCAAAACTCAGGCCTCAAAGGCGAATTATTTCGAAAATGAAGCCTTGTCAATCAAGGCCAAAAGAAGCCCGCAAAGCCTTTGTCTCCCAATTCCTGATGGCCAACTTTGCCCCCCTCGCCCGACCATACATCGACACAGGTGCGCTCAAGAGTATGGGCATCAGGTGCCTACACATTGACTTCAATACCGGGCGTCTCAGTAAGGGCGTTGCGCAATTCATCGACCCAATCTCTCCGAGCAACATTGGCGAATGGCTGGCAGTTACGAAGCCGTGGCTAGGGCGTGACGGCTTTTTCACTGACGACGAGCATGGCGGGGACAACGAGGGCAAACGGACCGCTTGCCCCCAATGGGAAGCTGCCAATTTATTCGAACTGGTGAATTTCTACCTCGTCTGCGATGGGGAAATGAACCCAGGCATACTTCAGACTCGAACGATGTGGAGGAAATTCCCGTATGCTTCATACCCCGATACTTGTTCCGTCTTTGGGCCAGGGCTAATCAAATTACGTGTTGCAGAATCCCACGTGGCAGGACGCTTTGCCAGCTTTCTGCTACAGGAAGTCGAAATTGGCGCGTATGGACCATCTTTCGTCGGTACCAATACTACGAGGAGATAATCTCTGAAATAGGCGAATCGCCCCTAGATCCAGATAAGCCCCATGTCATTGCTTTTCTAGCAGACGGCGCGCTCATCAGAGAAGATATGCTTTCGACTAGCGAGTTGACGTGCATTACGTATTTAGTTGCAGATGGCGCTCTAAAGTACAAGCATCACCGTTTCATCCCGGCAACGTGACCCCGACCTAGTCAGCCTAGGTGTAGTATATTCTGGCTAATAAAAATGCAAATGATAGGCGACGCTGATCTCCGCGTCATTTCGTACTGTCCGAATCGTGCAAGGTGTTCTCGACTGCCAGAAAGGGACACTCGAAATACGCAAGTCGCAACCAATTACTTTTTCTGAAAGCAGGATGGCTAATTGGGACAAGTATTTAACTTTGCTGGGATGGATGATTGGGAACCCCGTTGGGCAGACGGAGTAAAGGATATAGTGAAATATTACTTTCTGTAATTATTACTACTATATAATTATAATATATTAGATCCCTTTATAATAAGAATAAACTAGCTTATAATATGTATTTTTTAAGCTAGCTTTATAATAGATTTTTTTAATTTCTCGGTTATTATTGTATTACTTTTAAGAATTTCGTATACTTCTTATATACGTTTTACTAGTATCTTATAAATATCAAAACTTTAAAAAGTATTAACTAATATTAAAGATTAACTTAAGTTCTCCCAGTTAAAGCTCGTAGCTAATAGAGAGATTAAGAAGAGTTGAGCTTTCTAAGCCTACTATTCCGCGAAATATTACGTCTAGTCTGCTATATGAATAATAATATAGACCCCGACGCAACTACACCATGGGAGTTACAACCAAGAACGGCGAGCGGTACATTTACTCTGCTTAGGGAGTCATCCAACTATGGCCCTCTTGCATGCTTCACTGCCGTCTCGGAATAGGAAGGGAATTGTAGGTCAAGAAATACTCGCTATCTGGGCGACCCAATTCCCAGACGCTATTGCAAAAAGGTGTCTTGTTGAGTCTAGACAGAACAACTTGGATGTTAAGAGCTATAATGGCACGCGTAGAATCGGGAAAATCGGCAGAGTTCGGTCGTTTCCGGTATGTCTGGATCTTCTCGCTCCATGGCCCAACGGCGAAACATAATAACTGTGGTGACGCTCGCGCTGCGTATCGATAGGAAAGTATTATACTCCTACCTATATTTATAATCGCCGACGAGGTAAAAGATTATTGAGTACATTTGACTTGCATCTAATGATTGCTTGGCCAAAATACAATGGGAGGCAAGAAGTCCACAGCCAGATCAGGTACCTGGCTGTCGCGTTCTATACTAATTCATAGTATACTACAGCATATTAGTGTATATATCTCTGTGGGAAAATATAGTGTGCTATAGACTGTTACCTTGAAAATTTAAGAAGGCGGGAATAGTCTAGAGCATTTGTGCCACTTGGGAGTAAAACAGCATACCTATGCTAGGCAGTCATGCCATGTTACTGGTTTGAGCTTTGACAGATAGTCCAAAGACAATCACCGCTATGTGAGCAGTTCGGTGTCAGTGCCATAGAGAGAGAGCCAAATAAGCATACTTCTATTCTGGATATCTGGAATTCAGCTAAGAACCGCCATTGCTGGATCTTTTTGCTCCACGGCTCAACGAATGAACCCGATGAGCGTCGTGACATTCGGTAGAGAGCTTGAAGGAATAGAGATCAAGTGGATGTCGAGAATTTAGATGCCATCGATAATCTAGTCAATGAATACTGAGAAGTAGTATTAGAAAATGAGCTGTAATAATATTATCATGTCAAAGGATGGGGGCCCTCAGGAGGGGGGCGCTGGAGAGGGGAGAATTGTGCTTTATACTCCTGCCTCCAGATGCAGGGGCTCGAGTCTGATTGTAAATGCGAAAACGGATGGCCATGATTAGGCCCGCATTCCTCAGCAGGAATAGATCATACTGTGTCGATGACCTGTGCCACAGCAAGAGCATAGTCCAGTAGTGAAATGGGAGAAAGGAATTCGTAAATGTCGCCGTCTCATAAGCAAACACCTCCATTCAAGGGATTCTGATTTTTTCACGCAATATTAATCATCTTCAATATTAGATTTGCTACTGCAAAATAGACTTCAGATGACGACATTGATTTTTGGCTACGTCAAATTCTTCAGCATCGCCAGACTCATCGAGACAGGGACGATCAGACATGACTCTTGTAAACCAGGGTCATGAGACCAATGCTTATGTGTTGCAGACATAACAATTACACGCGAACCACCTGCTCCTCTGCTTGGCACGCGGCTGCCGCGGCGTGCTGTCTTGGTTTAATAGTTAGACTGAGACAGCCAAACAATGTTGTTTGATTATGACTGAGACTATTGAACTGGTTTTGATTAGTTCCGCCAGCTAGGGACGACGATCTGCAAAACGAGTGGATCTGACAATGCAGTATAGGGTAGCTAATGATGATGCCCATTTTCTTTCCTTTTTTTTTTCTTTTCGCTTTAGTTTTATTTATTTCAGTGGACGGCAAATATACGCAAGAGCAATGCTCAGACAGGCGATGAGTTCCAGATTTTTCTCATAGTGCTAATAATCAAAAATGATTGTTCGTTTGTAAATAAAGGGACTTTTCCATAATAAAATCAATTTGTGATACGATTGTATGTAGCTCTAATTTCTCATGCTTTCCGTGACAAACCGAAAGCATAAGTGAGACCCTTCCATTGAGCTGAAGAATGAGTAAACAATGTATTCTCATCATCAATGGATCTTGGCAAACTAAATTCTCCAGCATTCCCGTTGACCGTTCCTCAATTGGCGGACTAGTAGATTTCAAGGCCGATTGTCTGAGACTTGGGAGGGTCGGCGTCTTCCGGCTCTGCAAGACTAGTATTGACTCAGAATTGTCAATGTTAGCATGATAAGAAGAGGCAATACATTCCTAAAGAGTACCAGCCATAGCGTTGAGTATTGCTACAGCGGATGTGAAGCACATGGCGCCTTATCTCTTACGACTTGCCGACTCCAAGATTCGGCTTCAGCGGCAAAAGAGCAGTTCTCGCAACTCTTTCCTGTGACAGGGTATTTCCTGCAGTATTCTTCTCTCAAACCCAGCAGCGCTGCTCCCCCAATGCGTCCAAGAAGCGAGCTAATAGACATGCCGCTATATTCTACAAGGGCCTGCATCGCTCAACTCCAAGCACCGGGAATGACAAGCCCGGTGCACCATACTACTTCGTACAACCGTGGCCATATTTTGACTAGCTTCTATACAAGAGATGCATCCATACAATGATCGGCGCAATGACGCTTGGCTTTGAAAACAGTAATACGGGAATGCGGATAAGATTCGAGTCTCAGGACGTTCCACATGCTCTACAAGTAACGCCTGACCCTAATTTATAGTTCCTGCTTCCATTACTATTCAGGGGAATTTTGCTGTTCAACGCTTCCTTCGAGAATCAATCTGTATATATCTTGGTGAAACATAACACTGGACTTGGAGGCGTTGGAAATTTGTATTTCCGACAACGACGCTGATGTCGGAAAGTCGAGTTGGACACGGCAATCACACCCGATATGTAGTATGATCGCCAGCAAGGCTAAACAGCTGGGTTACACTCTGGCCTCCAAGTTATCAGAGCTTGCTGTAGTGCGTCTGTTCGTATTCGGGAGCCCTAATTCTCCCGTCACAGACGCAGCTCTACCCAAGAGTCGGCCGCCGTCCCCCCTCTGTCACGGCGGCGGCGCGTGGTCATCAGTGCCGTCTTATTGGCACAGTCAGTAGACGTCACGGATTCGTAGCCCTGGGTCGGGGTGGTTTAGGTCAACGATTTCCAATTCCGGCCTGTTGGGCAGTAAACGCATTCAGCGTCAAAGGTGGCAAATCCAACAATACCAGTACCTAACCTATGTCCGCGCCGAAGTCTATTCACGCCACAAACTGACTAATCGCCAGGAGGTCGAGGTAACCCCTTCTGTCCGCCCTGCCGTTGCATTTTTTTGTCATGGTGACATATTATTTGTTATGTACAGGCTAGGCCCGCCTGACGAGCCTCTCTAGTTCGTGAGGAACGAGGGAGTAGAGCTGAGTGAGACAGACTACTATGTCGATCGAGAGATCGCCCCACGTGAGGCAAGCAAATGAACCAGTGACATTCCACCTTGGATTCCCAATTGGTAGCCGACGAGACGTTTACTTGACTTATTCTGTACAAGTACATACCGGCAATCGTTGGATGTCAAAACAAAGTTTCAGACGGGAAGTATACGCAGAGTGCTGCTCCATGATGCCCATGGCGTCTACCACAACGACTACTGGCATGGCCATGACTGTTCGCGGAGCTTCAAGCCCGCCCTTGCTCCATATCTCACAAGCCGCGGAGGAATGCAGGCAAATCACGATGGGCCTAACAGTTCGAATGTCTGACAGAGCCACCGACATTTCGGTCCGATGCTTGTGTTTTTCCTTGGTTCTGTTAAGGCTCGCAGGCTGGTTCACGCCGTCACTCGGTTCCACAACAGGGCGGCTGCAATCTCCTTGGTGACACCAAACCCAGGGGATGAGCCGTGGCAAGGCACTGCATTTGTGGCAGAGAGTGATGAAAGCGACGGGTCGAAACCTTGGGCTTGAACCCGAGAAAACAAAAGACGAAAGTCGTCGGACGAAACCTATAAAGTGCTTGCTTCCCGCCGTGAAACTCATCAACTCACTCTCACTCACATCAGCAACATTCTCTCAGCTTTCAAACATCTCCCCAGTCTAATTACTTAATTTGCCTTTTTTTGGTTTTGCCATACTTACTTTCACTCAAACCGCATTTCACAATGTCTCTCTTCAAAGTCCTCGTTGCTGCTGCCACCATGGCCACCGTTCTGGCTGTCCCCCACGGCGGCAAGGGATACGGCGGCCAGGCCAACGGCAACCACAACGGCAACCACATCCAGACCCTCGGTGATGCTGCTGCCCAGTGTGGCAACCACCAGAAGATCTCCTGCTGCAACAAGGGCAACAGCGCTGGTACCCTGCTGGATGGTCTCCTGGGCGGCAACTGCAGCCCCCTCGACCTCACCGTGCTCGGTAAGACGAACAGAGAATACGCACCAGTGTGCCAGTCGACTAACACTACACAGGCATCGATATCCCCATCAGCACTGCTTGCAGCAACCAGGTTGCCTGCTGCACTGGAGACCAGAACGTAAGTGGATTTCGAAATACAGCCACAAGTACAGCTTCTAACGTCTTATACAGGGTCTCCTCAACCTGGCCTGTACCAACCTTAACCTCTAAATGCAACCCTTGGTTGTTCAGAGAAGGAGCCATACGCATCGGATGGGCAACGGGGAGATGTCGCCATCTTAATTTTGGCCCTTTTCGGCAGTGGATTTCTGGTTGGAGAAGCTAGTCTGGTGGTTTGGTTCGCATAAAGCCTTCATGACGGTGCGCTGCAATAGTTTGTCATAAAATTCGGGAAGGTACTAGTGCTAGAAGTCAATACATCTCTAGTTTTCCCAAAAGCAATCTTGCCATGCTTTCCGTGCTCTCGTGTCTTCGTCTTTTCCTGCTTCAGTCCGTTGGAACTCGATTTCCATTGCGCAAGTCAGATGACAACAAAACAACAGCCCACCAATTTGCCTCAAACCCTGTGGAATGCAACGCCAATTTGCGCAGCGTTTGTTTTCCTTATCTATCCAAGACAGCGAGCAAATTCTCTAGAGTCAAAATCCAGTCGATTCTCTTAGCACAGCATCATCAGCCATATGTCTCACAGTACAGATCGGTCCACGTAAGCGGGATCACTTGCCCATTCCCGACGTCGTCTGGCGAGCATTCGTGTGGGCTTTTTTCATGGCTCAATTTGCCCTTGGCGTTGCACTCGTCTAGATGTCAAATTTGATTATGGATCTATAGCCAACACGATTGTACAGCCCTAATTCTGGCCAGGGGCTAACAAGGGCGCTCGGGGCGAGCTAGTAGCTATTAGATATGAGATGGCATGTTCAGCCGAAGCGGAAACCCGTGCATGATTCTCCACCGCGATCCCAGATTACCCCGTCTCGCTCCACCATGTAGGGCGTGATTCCGGAAATTGGCGTCATTGAACCCCTATTTCCGTTGCTGCCAAAAATGGTGGTTGGTGCTATTGTGGCCCAATCAAACGGTGACACTGAGGACGTGTTTGATGACACTTCTCTTCAATTCTATCAAGGCATTTCACTCTAGTATATCGGAATGTTTTTTCTTTCTATTATTTCTTTCAGAATCTAGTAGGCATAGTATCTTGGTATCTGAATCTCGAGATAATCCAGATGTCCGCTTCAGTCAAGGTGTAATAACCAAATCAGGAAATTAGTGGGGACATCAGCACTCAACACGATTCTGCACAAGCGATGTTACTTCAACTTCCACCCTTGTTTGATTATCCATCCGTGGCAAATCAAGGGCGTGTACAGTCAGTAGAAAATTGTAATCACGGGAGAAGGCCAGGGCGTTAGAAGCCCCTGGTCTTTATTCCTTTGAGCGCGGCAAGCTGCAGGCCAAATCTCTTACGGAACGAGAACTAAGAAGAAAGTAGGTGTATGCATACCCACCAGACGTATGTTTTATTGTGATCGAGGTACTGCTAGTCGTCTTTCAAGTACATTTATTAGCAGCGTTTTTAGGCCAAGATGGAGATGGATATAGTTGCCCAAGGGCACTCTGGAGCAGACACAAGAAACACACCTTGCGGCGGTCAAAGGGATGCCCTAGTTATTCAAAGCCTCTTACGGCGACTCCTGTTCTACTGCTCCCTTCTTACTCTGTTACATTCTCTATATACATGGTAGCATGCTAATAGCATACGGAGTGCTGAGCCCTATCAGAAGCTTCTTCGCCATGCTGCAAGTGGAACAGTTGCATGGGTGGAGATATCCATTCTAGGAGCCTTTTTAAATCAATACTCATAGAATAGATACTAATCATATACGATGAAAGTATGCGTCCTGTCGGGATGCCGGCCACTCTGTGACCACATTGCAACGGGGGGCATAAACCAAGCAGATATTAACGAATATTTGACACCTAGTCTCACGTGCAAATTGGTGTAAACAATCTAGCCAGATACAAATAATTACACTATGGCGTGTCACGGCACCAATGCGCTCGCATAGTCTACCTTCTCCATGACGAAAAAGAACGCGCTGATCGAATAGCAATTATACCCCCTTATATTCCGTTAACACACCCCCGTAGTTAAAATTAAAGTTATGGTATCGCAGCTATAATGTAAGCTAAATAGTGATTGGTTACTACTGGCAGCGTTTTGCGTCACTGGTGCTTATAGCTGGTTACGCTAGGCTTAGTAGTAGGCTTAATAGGGTTATTCACGTTAGGCAGCTGAAAATCCCTTAAAATATGCCGCATGTAGGTCTTAAACTGGAAGATAGTCTGCGTGGAACCACGGTAAATTATACCATTACGCTAATTGGGCTCATAACTTTCACGAAAAAGAACGCGCTCTAATCGAATAGCAATTATACCCCCTTATAATCCGTTTACATTCCCGGCTTAGTATACCGTTGTTGGGGCAAATGTCCCTGCGTGTTCTTTCCTTGAGCTACTTGCCAATGCTACGGCATGAAGACAAAAATATGCCAAATTACATGACGAGCTGTCTTGAAGGCTGAAGCCACAGTGACAGAGGCCCTGGAAGGCCAAGACAAGAATCTTGGGTGCCATGTCAAGGCACAACGCGCCAGGTTCGGCGCATACGGTAAAGAGAAACCCTTAATACAGTATCATTACTAGGGTTCCGTAGTATTTGTAGTGTAGTTTCCGAGCAGGCATATACCCGTAGAGTTCGTCCACTTCCATCGTCACGAATACTGCTGTACCATCTGCAAATAGTAGACTGCAATTGTATAAAAATGCCCACAAGAAAATATCCTTGGCTGCCAAATTTTCAAATCAGGGTATCACAACAAACTACCTGGCGTAAACCGCACAACATAGATCCCCTTAACTCCTCTGCGGCAGAGCAAAAATGCAAACCCCTATTCCCACCTATACACACCATCAATATAAGCAAACTTTCTCCGGCATTGACTTCCAGGTTCTACTGGCGCCCGCCTCCTGGGCATCATGCGCTCCATCAGTCGCCTCCGCTCTGCCTCCTCCTCTGTGCCTTCTCCCTCGACAGGCCTTTCCGGTTCGTTCGAGGTGGAACTCCTACGAATCTGGCTGCCATCTCTCGGTTCACGCGATATATTTGCTCCCGGGGAGTTGCGCTCCCCTCACCCGTGTCCGTCATCCGTGTCCGTCATCCGTGTGTGTGTCATCTCCGCGAGTCTCTTCCATCGGCTGTTATTCTCACACCGAGGCTCCTGGACTCTGTGAATTTCCCAGTTACGACTGTTTGCGTCTCCGTAGCCTGGCGGAGGCGGGCTGCCGGCAGCCCCAAGTCGTTCATGAAGCCGGCCCTGCCTCGTCGTAGCAGTGGCATGACGCTTTTGTTTTTGACCATCAACACGTACACCATTATTGTTCACAGCAGGCCCACGAGAGCGAGACTTTCGGGGTAAGGGGAGGTCGGACACATCGGCATTGAAGCCTGCGGAGGACATGTTCTGTACCGATGGGACTGAGCAAGGGATCGGACTAGGCGTGACCGGGTAGAAAGGCCGTTCAGATATAGGTGGCGCAGAATAGTTAGCAGGGAGAGGTAGGGGAGGCGGAGCCATTCCTGGCGGGCATACGCCACACGGGATATAAAGCGGCGGCTGCTTCAAGATGACGTTCCTGCGGCCGAGAAAGCCGTGGCAGGATTGAGGACATGGAGATTGCCTAGCTATGGTCTCTGAGTGGCCATCTCGGTATATGTAGGTGAACACGTCTGTGGTACACAGGGAAGATCCGTCCTCGTGACCCGCATCGGCGCGAGCAGAAGCGTTGGAGGAGAGGGTCCCGTATCAGCTCGCTTCGAGCGATGCTTCGATCCTCCTGATGGAACTGAGGCTTCCGATTCAGAAAGCTCTGATCTTGTCGGCTCCACATCCGCAGAATCTGCGGCGTCATTATTCCGAGTACCCGGAGCTGGCGGCGGAGCTAGCTTGGAATTCAAGTCTTGAGCATTGGGTTGTGGTGGCACTTCGTATTGACGTAGGAGCCGTACCTTTTGGAAGTATCCTGGTTCGACAGGTACGCTCGTCACGTTCTCCTTCAACAAGCGTCTCAGAAGAAGCGCCGTCGCCTTCCTCGATGGTAGTGGCCAGATCACATGCCTTGATGACCTGCTTCTGCATACGGAACCACATACCGCAGTCCTCGGTTTGACTAGTAAACACAAGTCTACGCTCTTGAAGTGCCCCAGCGGTGATAAAAATGCTCGTACCATTGAACGTTCACATCTTCCGGTGCGTCGGTCACTGTGTAACAACGAGGACAAGTACCGACCACGATTTCCGCGCCGTAAAAAAATTATGCTCATATTGATCTTCATGCCTCCCCTTGTGTCCTTTAAATTAGCCTGCAAGCCGACCATTCAGCACCTAGGTCATGATCAGCTAGCCGTCAAAGAAAAAAAACTCAATCGATCCGGTTCAGCGTGGCTCATCTCCCACTCCAGAGTATCTATCCACTGAGCCGGGATCTCCAGTGACCGTCCCAAGGCATCCTCTACAATGACAGGCACCCCCTTGGTGGGATAAATCGGGAGGATGAATATGGAATTCGAAGCTATGACTGAAGATCAATGACATTCTGCGAGACCTGTACCAGAAGCTTCTTGGCCTCTATGATGCCATGGAACGCATCCTTGGCCACCGCCAGAATAGCGCGGCCCCCCTCCTCCTACATGTCGAGCTGGCAACAGACTTTACCAAGATTTTGTATCTGCTTGTGTTCCTGCTCCTCATTCGCGGCGCGATGCTTCTTTAGAAACTCGAGTATTCCTGCCTAGCCACTTCGCGCCTGTGACGCCAGTAGCTGAACTTCATCGACCCGAGCCAACACGATGGCGTTGTCGACACGAGCAGATTTCTTTGCATGGCAGCCAGGGCTAACGCCGTGGCCAAGACGAGGTGTCACGGGAAGGGACTCTCACTCCGCAGCCAGGCTCGTCAGCAACGACAGCCTTTGTACTTCCTCCTGCAACTTATTCCGAAGCTTTTCGAGCCTCTTTGTCTCTCTCACGCTGCATTCGATGCGCTTGAATATGTCTTTAATCTTCTTTGTGGATCCATCCACGCCGAAACTGCTCCCGTAACGTGAGCTGAGGTGTTGGAGGGGGTCCTGGATTTGGCTTGCACACTCATTGACGACCGACCTGGAGACATGGTCGAGGACTTGTAGACACGGCGAGAGTTCGCGCTGTTGATATGTGGCCACGACCTGCGACACACAATCATGAGCAAAAGATGGGAGCCAGCTCCTCCCGGCGCCTTTGTCGAAAATAACTGGATGATCCCCGCGTCCTAAAGGAGCTTGAAGCGAGACACTCTACTCTCCGTCTTGCGCCTCGCAATCAGTAGTCTATTGTGGGGTTGGATCGAAATGGCACAACGGCATAATGGCACGGAGGTCTAGAGTAATCGGCAGGCTCCCGGACTCGGAACCGGCGTAATGGGGCTTCCCCCGGACCCTGTCGGAATGGGCGCCGGTGATATGTCGGCCGAGGTCTCGGGAGACTAGGTTTCTGCACAAGAGTCCGTGGTCTGATCTCCCCCGAGAATCTTGGCCTTCGTAGTCGCTGTCTCAAGTATCTGCCATTCATGAAACTTGACTTCTCTTTTCAGGCTTGATGAGTCGACGGACGTGGAAGCTGTCCAACCATGACTGCTTGCGTGTGGACCGGTATGAGCAGTTGATCTTGGATAAAATAGGGCCTACCCTTGAATACTTTGTGAAAGATGCGTATTAAAGGCTACTTGGTGTATCAAGTCCGCTCAAATCCATGGCCAAATCTCAAACAGCCCAGTATACTTCAACTTTGACACTATCCACATTGTTCACCCATGCTGGAAATCTCGCCTTGCCCCAGATGGTAATGACATCGCCCAAGACTAAGCTTCGAACGAATGATCCATCGCCAGTTGCCCGGCCACGTCCTTGATCCTCGAGCGCCTTGCCGGCATCTGAATCCGCCTTGATATCATCCAGATATGACCAGGTGACGACGTGTTCTTGCCAATCACCTGTTGCCCTCAAATTTCGCTGGATTTCCCATTCAGGCTGGCCCTCAAGAGGATGTACGTATTTATATTTCGCCTCGGGTTGACTTTCGTTGTCGTCCTCATTCTCCTTGTTTTCATCGTCACTCTTTGGCAATCGCTCAATGTGTGGATAAACCGCCCGGAGTGCGCGCACAGGGAGAGCGGAACTATCTGATTTGGGCGTTTCTTGTGGTACATTACGCGTACTCTGCGCATCGCCTAGCAGGTAAATGTTGGCAACGGTTCGATAAATATTGAGGCAACAGATTTGGGACCTTACTTGTTTGTGCTGCATCAAACTTTTCTAGTCCAGCTTCAAACCAAGTCCATGACGCCTTGTACGTTCCCTTGTCCCCGTAATCTCCACCAGCCCACCCTTGATCATGGCTTTTAATCTTATAGACGACTTTGCGCACTGGGTTAAGCAGTCGAGGGGTTGGGTATTTTGCTAATTTCGCAAAATATTTGGCATCGCAGTCCTTCTCTCTGGGTAGGGGTGTCGCCTCTTGGGTATCGTAGGCCAACTCTTTGGACAGGGTGTCCTGGCCTTTGATACCTGTCAACCCTACTGGGTAAGAGCGAAGCTGAGTAAGATGGGATATATTAGTTCCGCAAGGCAGTCATGATAGAACGCAACTGGGTGGCTAACCAGAAATTTATCTTCAGTCCGAGAAGAACCATAAATTCGCAGAGGTTCTTGTTGTTCTGCCTGGTAGTCGATCGCGTTGGTAGAATGAGCCCAGTATTCAGCATAGTCGAAAATGGCATCAACCAAGTCAGGTGGCAATTTCACGGAGCGGGTGAGCATAATGCGCACGACGACAATGTCAATGGGGTTGGGGTGGTAGGTTCCATCGTCAGCATCGGTCTTATCGGACGGTCGAGGCTCTGGCGTTTCGCGGTTTTCAGGTGTCAAGGGCATTCGACGCAGTCGGGCGAGCAAAAGATTTGGTACAATGTGCGCCATAATGAAGCTCAAGAGGACTAAGAACACGAAAAATTCCAGCATACGTACCCCGGAAGGTTTGCGAAAAGCGAAGGATGGATTGCGCGTGTTGCAAGCAACTAGTGTTGAAGGAAGAGGATGGTGATGATTCACGCAGCCAGCCAGCTGGTTTCGAAACGTCAAGTAGACTGACGAGCTAGCATGTGCTGACGTCACGTCCATGCACGCAAGTGGGCCTGCAGCTGCCCTGTTCATGACTTCAAATGTTTTGATTTGCTAGCACTTGAACTTTTCAACGCATTTGCCTCTTTTTGGACTAGCAGCTCTTGCAGCTCTCTGTAGAGTGTACCGTGGTAACAAACATTTAAAGGCAGCGAAACTTCAATGAAATGCAGAATATTGCGGGAATAAATCATTGCAACCCGGGTTGTAGAATTTGGTCATTAATCTGGGCGAGTCAAATCGGGTAGACGTGTAGCAAAAAATTTTGCGCGTGGGATGAACTTTGAAGTGTACGTCTCCATGCAACTTCAGGGTAACCTTTGACAATGCTCCAGAAGCTGACAGTGAGGGTGCCATCTTGAGAGTTTGGGCGGCCAGGAGAGATGTCGGCGGTATTGCTGATGCTCGTCATCGGACACGAGGCATTTCCCAATGTCTGGTCAGGTGTCAGATGTCAGATGTCAACTGAGGAAGGAGCGTACAGAGAGCTGTTGCCTCAGGCGCTGGGTGGCCTGTGAGCTCATGCACAAGCCGTGCACTATCTGCCATGAACCATCAAACTCAAACACTACATGCGGTTCATGCGATGCAAGCACTCGACATACTATTAAATCTCGGCATCCAAGTTGGTCCGAAGCTGAGAGCCGCCTAGCGGGTCTGCTCAGTATCCAAAATCCGTGTTACTATTTCGCACTGCCGCACGCCGCTCACTGTTGTGAACAAAGCAGGGAGTTTCGGTCAACAGGAGGCGACCAATCTTGAAGCTGCCGGTTGGAACTGACAAACCATCGAGTTCATAACTACCTTGTCCTCTATCTGGCTACCTCGACCTTGGTGCGATTCTCAAATTGTGAGCCGTACAAATCCACACAGAGCAACGCCAACCGATCGGCCATGCACCCAAAGCGCGGTTTCTACACAGACGATCGACTTGATTGGATGCATTTGACGCGGTAGCTGCTTAGCAGCGGGCAGTGCTCATATCTGAAGCTTCTGCTGGAACGCTTGACTCGACAACCCGCTACGGCTAATCGCGTTTTCTTGTTATGACCATTGTGCGCTGTCGACAGATCTGGAGCCACGATCTATCCCGTTGGGTACTTTTAGAAATAGTTTTTTGATGCTCGAAAAAAAATAAACCTCACATCGGACAATCAACAAAGACGGAAAGTGACCGAGCCAGTTAGTGACCGCAACCGTTCATTCAACCACACAGCCTCGTCGGGTGGCTAGTCAGGGCCCTGAGACACTCAACACCCAAAGATAAGACGCGGCGTAGCAGCCTCTCCGGATTTAAAGAAAAATTAAGCGTAAGGCAATGGTGTAACCATCTATACATGCTTACCGGCGCCAGCCGCATGTAGCACATTGTTGGTCAGAATCTGGAGGTAAGCCATTCCAAGGGTCATGTAATTTCACTTTTGGTTCGTCACTGGTCTCAATGCCGATAGTGAACTGACCAACTGCCGCGGTAAGCCAGGGGAAAATCCTGAACCAACCGTCATAATGGCTAGCGCTGAGGCAATTATGATCCTGTCGACTTGTACGGCGTCGGGGAGACACGGAGAATTACAAAAGGTCGTGGACATAAATCATGCCCTATTCCCGGGGCCTCCCAGCACGCGGCCGGCGGTGACAAACGTTGGCTGGAAGTGTTGGGTTGTCATGGGCGCAAAGGCCAGGCGAAGGCACTTGCGAAATGAGGAAATTCAGTGCACCAGACTCGTAATACAGGCGGATTCCGTTGTCTGGACCAGAGATTTGACTCACCCACTGCATCCACTCTCCCTCCAATGCGGCAATCAGGAACCTTTGGAAATCGGGCTGGCTGGCGGCAGCATGAAGGGCCATGGAGGTCGAGGCCAGATACGGACCACTTGCAGCCAATATGCTAGGCAATCATCGTCCTCATCGCAATCATCACCTGCATCCCGTCCCCACTCCGGGCAATGGAGCCGAACGACTTGGGTTGGTTGCATCAGCCAAGTCGCACGACTTCGACCCGTGTACGGTTGCGCTTCTCCCAGCACTGCCACCGTGCCCAAATTCCTAGCGTCGTGGAAGCCAAGACATCCTTTTTGAGCAGAAGAGGAGGCGCGCAAAAATTTCAGGGACGAGCACACGGAGTGCAAAGTTGTCCAAAGGATATCGACCTATCAAATCGTCCAGCCCCGAGACTAGCCGGGACACGGGAAAGACGATTACATGGTGACATAACTTCATGTACTCGGTACGGAGTATGTATATACACCACTGAGGATTGCATTTGGGCAGGTCATCCACCGTCACCAAATGGATGCTTGCCTCTTTGCAGGCCATCATGTTTGATCCAGGCCCCGGAGTAAGAAACAATATGCCAAGACCGGTGACTGCGCATGCTCATGCAAGCTGCCGGCGATTCAACAAAAAACGCACGTGTTGCCATGTAATGGCGATAGCGAGCTGAGGCTACGGTGCAACTCCGAGACATTGGATCTGTACTCTCCGTACCCCAAGCGCAACAACATGTGAAAGAAGTATTTGCGGATTTTTCGCCCCCTACTGAGTGACGACGAATATATATATATTAATTTACCCCCTGTCTTTTCACAATTCATTATCCTATTGGTGCAACCGATTAAACCCCTCTCGAATGCGCCTGATAATGGCCATGTACCTGTTTAGAATAAGGCAAACGAGCCAAAAACTACCGTGGCTATGCTCGGGACGCCTGAGTCACTTTAATGTTCGCCAGCACCCTAGCTAGTTTAAGCCGGACCCATCAGGTCATGGAGTGTGATACAAGGCTAGCACGGGCTGGCTGCCGACAGGGGGGAAATTTCTTTTCATAAACACCGCACACTGTTGTGGAACAACATCTTTCTTTCCGACCAAAGATTTCTCTTTCTCTTCGACGACATCTATTAGGGACTCGAAGGAAAGCCATCATTGTATCCCTATCAGTCCAATCTGCTACATAAGGCAAACAATTTCTGGAAATTAGAACTAGATCGCCTCGTCCTCTTTTCTCACTCTTCACTATCACGACTTTGCTCGCTTACAGCTCACCCGGTTGAGCTGTTATTATCGCAACACTGGAGGCTACTGTGAGCCAAGTTCAAGCAGTCGTGGCGGCGACTGTTGGATCCCAACTCCAACCAACTCCTTTCCAACCACCATAGGGTCAACCTCTGGTGACAATCATTCAGTGCCTTTCATTTGATCAAATCCACATTGGTCATTTCGACACTGTCTTTCGGGAAAAAAAAAAAAAAATCTATACTGGCATGAAGACCCTTTCGCCTGTCGTAGGACCAGCATCAAAATGCCCTTCCTCTCCAACATTTCCAGCAAGGCTGGCAAGACTGGTCTAATCAGCGGACTAGCTTCTCTCTTTGGACTCTCCCGAACGGCTTCATGGCCTGCCAACATGTCATGGCTTAGCCTCCCTTCGCTGGCCGCGGACACCTCCGCGGAGGCTATCTTGACGGCCTTTGCAGGAATGGAACCTGATATGGTACTCGATCATTTGCAGACTCACAAAGATGGACTGACTGACGAAGAGGCCGATGCCCGCCGATCCATCAAGGGGCCTAATGTGCTACCAACCCACACGGCTCCTTCTTGGTTCATTACCCTTCTCAAGGCCATCCCGAACCCCTTCAATATTCTGCTAATTGCCCTGGCCATTATCAATGCTGCTATTCCTCCTGGAGACTGGGTACGTATTTTGTCTGCGTTTGATCTCAGTGGCGAAGATAATCGAGATGACGTTTGCTAACTCAACAATCTGCAGAAAGGTTTCACCGTTTTGATTGTCATGGTCGTCATCTCCGTAGCCGTTCGCTTCTGGCAGGAATATCGAAGCAGCTTGGCAGTCTTCAAGCTCCAAGCATCGGTTTCCTGTAATCTCGATGTTCGTCGCCAGCCAAACATGTCTCTGAGCCAAAAGGTATCTACTCCCAGTAGTGAGGCTAGCAGTAAGACCGTTGCCGAACAGGACCTTGTTCCTGGAGACGTCGTGGTGCTGTCACCTGGTTCTGTCATGCCCGCCGACTGCTTGATCTTGGAAGCCAACTTCCTTCGAGTTAGTCAGTCGACATGGACTGGAGAAAACGACCCGGTACCGAAGAACCCCAGTGTTTCGGGCGAGAAAGGCACAACCCTTTTCGATCTTAGCAACATTGCGTTCATGGGAACAAGTGTTATCTCAGGTAATGGAGTTGCCTTGGTTCTTCGAACTGGCGCAGATGTCTTGATTGCAAGCATGGCCAAGGAACTCAAGAAGCGACGTGAACCGAACTCTTTCCAGTTGGGTATTCGACACGTTAGCTATATGCTGATTGGTTTCATGCTCACCATGGTTCCACTGGTAAGTCAACGTCCTGGTAATTGATGCAGATGAGTTACTCAACTTTCTTAGGTGCTGGGTATTTCTGGATACACTACCAAGGATTGGGACGCTGCTGCTCTTTACAGCATCAGTGTGGCCGTTGGATTGGTTCCCGAAATGCTTCCTGCCATCGTCAATGCCAACCTCGCACGTGGTGCCTATGTGCTCTCCAAGATGAAGGCTATCTCCAAGCGACTCGATTCGGTTCAAAATTTAGGTGCCATGACTGTTCTCTGCAGTGACAAGGTGAATATATTCTCCATGCGAAGTGAGAATGTCGACGCTAACCCGGACAGACGGGAACCCTGACCAAGGACGAAATTACCCTGTGTCAATACCTCGATGGCAACGGCGAAACCAATGTTAATGTCTTGAAATTGGCGACTGTCGATGCGTTGGTACAAGGCTCCAATGGTAACAATATTGACGGCGCCATCCTGGACTACCGTATGCCCGACGGCTGCCGCGTCAACACCGCCCAGTACGAAAAGGTTGCCGCAATCCCCTTCAACTTTGAGCGTCGCCGGTCCGCCTGCGTTGTCAAAGGCATTACTGGAGCCAACCTACTCATTTGCAAGGGCGCCTTTGAAGAAGTCCTACGTGTTTGCAGCATGGTCCGACAAGGTGGTGTTGCCCTTCCTCTTGACTTCCAGATTAAGCAGACTCTCCTAGATCGAGCGAATTCTCTCAACAAGGAAGGATACCGTGTGCTCTTGGTTGCAATGAAGCAAATCGGCGACATCAGCAGGGAAGACGAGGATGGTCTGCACGAACTTGAATCCAGCATGATTCTCGAAGGCATGATTAGCTTCATCGACCCACCAAAGGAGGATGCCGCCGAATCAATTGCTCAGCTGAAGAGCCTTGGTATCGAGGTTAAGGTACTCACAGGTGATACACTCCCTGTGGCCGTCAACGTCTGTCAGCGTCTTGACCTCATTAGCCGCGATGAGGGCTCCGAAGACGATGACTTGCAGGCCATCACTGGACCGGAACTATCGCTTCTGGAGGACACCGATGAATTCGATAATGTTGTCAAGACTTGCAAGGTTTTTGCTAAGCTGACTCCCAACCAAAAAGCTCTTGTTATCGGCAGTCTGCGAAAGGCTGGACATTGTGTTGGAATGCTTGGCGACGGCATCAACGACTGTATTGCACTGCGGAAGGCCGATGTGGGCATCTCGGTTGACTCTGGGGCGAGTGTTGCCAAGGATTGTGCAGACCTGATTCTGACAGAGAAGGGCTTGGGTATTATTGTTACTAGTGTGACAACCGGTCGTCTTACCCATGGTAACACCATCAAGTACATCAAGGTGGGATATTCTGGACGCGCGGTTTAGTCGAGCGGCACTAACGACGTGTAGATGGTGGCTTCTTCCAACTTTGGCAATGTCTTCAGTATGCTCGCAGCTTCTGCTTGGCTTCCGTTCACTCCGGTACGTCTCTTCTCCGCCGACGCTAGACGGGAATCACACTGACAAGCCTTAGATGTTGGGTATTCAAATTCTGGCACAAAACTTGCTTTACGACATTAGCCAGATTGCCATCCCATGGGATCGAGTCGACCCCGAGTATTTGGCCACACCCAAGACCTGGAAGACATGGGGTAATATCAACCCGTCTCCATCGAACCACGGCACCCTAACTAACAATCACAGACCTCCTTCGCTTCGTTGTTGTCCTCGGCCCGACTAGTTCCGTCATTGACATTCTCACCTTTTCACTAGGCTGGTTCTTCTACGGCATCCAGACCACCGAAGATCCAGTCTCCGTGATGCGTTTCCAAACCCACTGGTTCCTCCAAGGGTACGTTCCGTGTCCCTTTTTTTTTGTGTCACAGCTTCCCCTTTCCCTGTTCGCCGCACAATCTGACTGGAAATTAGTCTTCTCACGCAAACCCTCATCGTACACCTCTTGAGAACCGCCAAAATCCCATTCATCCAATCTCGAGCCGCCAAGCCCCTTGCCTTGTCCACCACGGCCATCATGATCATTGGCTTTGTGCTCCCTTGGATCCCGCCAGTCCAGCGGGGCCTTAGCTTTGAGCAGCCGGCGCCGTCGTACGTTGGGTTTCTGGTGGCGGAGCTGCTGCTGTACTGCATCGAGGTGCAGATTGTGAAGATGATCTACATCAAGATTTTCAAGACGTGGTTGTAAATTGTCCAAGGGGGTTCTTATCCGGTAGTAGGATATGATGCGACTTGGGGGATGTCTTGAGGGATGTGTATGGCTTCAACATGTGCCTTGGCATACAGAACCGACGCTGGCTCTTCAACAGCGCTGGCAAAACAAAAGTTCGTTTTGAATCGAGTGCTTGTATTTATTCGTCTCGGCACGTACGTCGACGTTGTGGTCCGCAGCTCATTGTGCAGCGTATCCGTGTCATGTCTCTGGTGGACAGTAAAGAAGTCAATTACCCTGTCAACGCATCCGGTACAACCCCAGGCAAACATGCCCGCAAATGCCGCTGGACCGGTGACGGTAGCCTTGAGTAGTCTACTTGGGTCAGATTATTGCCTCTCTGTAAATAATGGTACATACAATGCGGATCAATACATCAAAACGCAGCATCATGCACGCTAACTTTTTTTAAAAAAAAGTACATAATCCAATCCATGTACACCGTCGACATGTTCCACTCACACCCTTTGGTCATCAATGTTATTCTAATTCAGAAACATCCTGACATTGCCACCCACGTGCTTCAAATCCAACAAAAAGGTGTCGTGTCCGAAGAGACTCATCTCCTCACTCAACTCGACGTGCGTGACGCGCCTGTTCCCAGCTAGGCGCAGGCTCTGCGCAACCTCACGCTGCTGCCACGCCGGGAACAAGATGTCGCTCGCCACGCCAAGGACCAGTGTCGGCGTGTCCCTCAGGGCAGCCAGCCCCAGGACCAGGTCCTCCGGGGGCGTCGACGAGGCGGCCTCCAGGGGTTCCGAGACGTCGACCTGGCTGGAGGGCTGCTCCTCGTACGGCCGGGGCGGCAGGGTCAGGGAGCACGAGGCGTCGCCGGTGGCGTGGGTGCCGGCGCGGATGCCGTCCCGGTGGCTCTGGCGCCGGGACCGGGCGGCCAGCTGGTTCTCGCGGCCGAGGTCAAACAGGTCCATGGCCTTGCTGACGTAGAGCAGCGAGTTGGGGTCGTAGTCGAGGCACCACTTCTCGCCGGCGTGGTCGAGGTACGTCTCGATGAGGAAGTCGGGGCACAGGGCGGGCGGCTTGGAGTTGTCGGCGCGGCGGCGGCCGAAGCGCTGCTCCCACTCCGGGCCGGAGCGGTAGGTGACGGTGGCGATCTCGCGGGCCAGCTTCATGCCCGCGTGCGGGGGCACGGCGTCGTAGTAGAAGCCGCGGTTCCAGTTGGGGTCCATCATGAGCACCTGCCGCTGGGTGTGGCGCATGGCGATGCTGTAGGGGTGGCAGCGCGCGCAGCCCGAGATGCTGACGATGCGGCCGACGCGCGAGGGGAACAGCACGCCCGCCGCGAGCGACTGCATGCCGCCCATGGACGAGCCCACGCTCGCGTAGAGCCTGTCCACGCCCAGGTGGTCCAGGAGCCGGAACTGCGCGCGCACCATGTCCTGCATGGTGAGGATCGGGAACCTCGTCGCGTACCGCTCGCCGTTGCCTGGGTCGATGCTGCTGGGCCCCGTAGAGCCGTGGCACCCGCCGATGACGTTTGTGCAAATGACGTGGTACTTGTCCGTGTCTAGCGGCGCGCCGGGCCCGATGAACTTCTCCCACCAGCCGGGCTGGGGGTTCGCCTCGGTGGAATGGGCGTGCGACGACGCCGACAGCCCCGTGTGAAGCAGGATGACGTTTGATTTGTCCGCGTTGACGGCACCCCACGACTCGTACGCAATGGTAAACTCGGGCAGGATGCCGCCCCAGTCGAGAAGCAGCGGATCTTTGCAATGGAACGTCTCCGTTGGGCCAGATGTGTAGCTGGGCTCTGGGCCGGACGAGGACCGACTCGCTTGCAAGGTGGCGGATCTGGTTTCCAAGGCGTCTAGGCAGGGGAATGCCATGGCCGGGTTTGAGGCCGCGCCCGATTTGGCCCGCGGAGAGGAGGACAAGGCTGCATTTTGGATTCTGGCAAGGCCGATGAGCCGGGCGGATGTCGGCCGTGTGAGGGCTTTGTAGATGTGCCGGGTGTTGTTTACCACGGACCGGGATGCCATTGTCACAATGGCACAGCGGCTCTTTTTACCTGACCAAGATACAATCAGCGATCAACAAAATTGAGCAACGGGCTACTTGGATTGAGTCGGCAAGTTGTAAGTGAGGTTGAATATCATAGACTTGATTGTTAATTGGGGCGATGTCGGTGGTCGTTGGTGCTTAGTCAGTTAGCACACCATTTCACGTGCCGCCAATATCTGTACTTGGCAGACGCCACAGCGAATCGGCATTGTAGTCGGATAAAATAAAGAATTGACCTTGAAGAAAGTAGATGAATCAAAACCAGTGAATGTGTTCGCAATTTTAATGTATATCCTCAGTGGCTTTTGTGATCGCTGTTGGCCGTTGAGACAGATATGTTTTGTCACGAGGATTTTGGGCCAAGGCATCGCATCACACCCAATCCGCAAGTGCGCTACCCATAAACAATTCAACGAGGGAGTGTATATAGTCCGAGCACGGGTAGAAAGTCGATATATAAAAGTAATATACTGAGGGATCATAAAGATGCCCTAATCATTTGTTTGGTATCTCGTCAACGAAAGCAATCCAGCCGCCCAGAAGTAATTCCATAAGTCATTTTCATCTCGCACCCTCCCTCAGATAAAAGTTCCAGTGAATTCTGTTAAAACCGGCGACCTTAAATCTGCGTGCATACCCTTGTTCGGCGAAGGAGGTAGAGTAACCGGCGCTGGTCGTGGTGGTGCCTTTTTCGCCTCAACTCGTATGCAGCTTGTTCCTACGCTAGTACTTGGCCGTCTATCAAGAGATGGGAATCCGCTCCGAGTGGGGGAACCGACAGGTTCGTTGAGGTTGATGTCAAGTGATGTGCCGAATGAATCGCTAGAGTTGGGAATAGATTTGGCCAAAGATGGAAATGTTGGACTTGGAACGCGTGGAGCTGTGGCAGATGTTGAGGTAGACAGGCCAGCTCTGGGATCCTGGCTGGGGCTGGGACGACTAGGTGTCAGAGGCGCGGGCATGGCAGATAGGCGAGGCTCCGACCTGTCAAAATCGGACCACATTGGAAATGGTAATGCATTATCATCATCATCGGAAGATGACCGTCGTGGAGGCAGCGGTCCTGGTCGTCGGCCTCGTGGCAATCCCTTGGACATGGGAAAATTTCCTTCCATCCCTGGTCTTGAGAAGGGGCTACTAGGCAGCTTCTCATTTTGTCTTGGTGTCGGCTCGCTGCTCGTACAACCGATTCCCGAGTCGGGTGCCAGACCGCAAGAGTTCATGGCTGCGGTTTCAACGTCATCTGTTGCAGAAGGGGGCAGAACAGGCTGCAGTGGTCTTGGAGGTGTAGCTCGTGACCACGTCTCCGAGTCGAAGCGAGATTTGAAGCCCTGCCGAAAACCCATACCAGTCCCATTACTATGTCCTCTGTATGCACCAGCAGCGGCTGGCGGAGGGCCCAATATCCGCAAGGCGTGTTCTCTAGGAGCCCTTGGTAATTGATCAAGCACATTTGTGGCCAGGTCTTCTGGGGTACAAGTGGGAGCCGGGCGCCTTGACTCTTCTCTTTCAGTCTGTGTAATTGATGAAGATGATATAGATTCTGAAGCTCTTGACGTCAGTCCACGGTCCGACTCCTTCATGTTCTCAGATGACATACTCGGTCGTCTTGCAGCCTCCAAGCTTGGTCCTTGCTCCGTCTCGCTCGTGTTGCTAGTGGTCCTGGTGACGCTTTCGCCAAAATCGAAATCTGCAAAGTTGCCGCTGAATCCTTCCTTTAGCGGATGCATCATTGTTACTCTGTAGACTTCCTCGAACTCCTTTGTAAAACTGTGTCTACGAGGTTGATGAAAGGCAAACGTATCTCGCCATGCCGGCAAATTTCGAACGACTGGGCCTCCGGGACGGTCAGGACTTGTCGGTTGGGCCGTTGGCATTGGACTGGGCGGAGATGTCGGCTCCGGCCCATCCACATTCCCCAAGGGACCGGGGGCATCCCGTTTACTGATCGGCGAATGGCTGTCGGGGGCGGGCACATTCACGGGTGAGAGTGTCCCCTCAGAATTGGTGTCTGGCGGCGGCGGTGACGGATACTGGGTTGGTGTTACAATTACTTCATCCGACTTGCGACTGTGCGACGTAGCCGATGGAACATCCTTGTTGGTATTCTTGCTGGTTTCATGTCCATCGGTATGTTGCCCGAAATCAAACTGGCCGGTTGGATGATTTGGGAAACCTGGAGCAGCGGAACCCGTCGCAACAAGATTTTGCCCTAGGGGTGTGCCTGGGTGAGTATTGGCGGAATTCTTGCAAAAGTGAACATCCAAGGGATTCACCCAGCCTGCCTTTTGAGCTCCTGATGGTCTGCTAGGTGTTCCGGGCCGAAGTCCACTACCTCCCAAGGCAGTCGGCAAAGCCGTGCCAGGTCTAAGGTTCACATCTGAAGCAGCATGGCGCAAGCTCCCCACACTAGGCCGTCGTCTAGGAGGTGCCAGGTCGGTCATGGATGAAGTCATTGCCGGATTTTTGAATACAGCTCGCCAATTGGACATGCTTCGGGTCGAATTTGCGGTGCCGGGTCTTGCATTTGAGGATGGAAATTGCGGTGGCGAGAGGGTTTTCCCAAAGTATTGACCCTCGCCAAGGGCGTTCTGATCAGCGCGATTCCATTTCTGCGGTGCCTTGCTTTGGGCTTGTTTGCTCCTAAATGCAGCATCGGTTAGAAGTCGTCGTTCGCTTGATGCCTCATTCAACATACTGCGCCTTTTTTCTATCGCTTCCAAGCTTCAATCCAAAGAATGACACCATCTTGAGGTCTGGTAAACCGTATTATAATTAGACTGCCAGGGCATTAGTGCCGGTTTCCAGCGTTGGCTGTAGTTGCAGCTCACATATTAAAGGGAAGGTGAATTAGTTGAGAACGAATGAAAATTCGTCAGTATTATTAGTGAGTGGCTATTATATCGAGTCGTAGCAGCGCGTGAGCGCATTACTATTGAGTCTGGTAGCTCTGATGAGGGTGGAGGGCTTCTCCGAGCATGTCCGTCGTAATTACTGCGCCGTTCACCGTACGAACCCGAAGATTGAAGAAGGCGATGTTTCCTGCTCGAGGACTGGGGAGGAGGAAACGATGGGTAATAATGAGCGGGTAGGGCATGGAAGGGTCTGATGCAGAATTCTTGGGGCGAGACAGAGAAGACACACAGCTGGCGCGCGGGCGGAATTGCTGATGCACTTGCCAGTGCTGGAATTAAAAAGAAATAACAAAAGAGTGGACGAATGTGCTTCGGTCAGACGACAACCGCAATCATGGAAAAATAAACCAGACCTGATACGAGTGGCGATGAGGCCCTCTTTTTCTGTGTTCGACACGACACGAGGTTGAAGGTGACGATGGGAAGTTCAAATGGAGAGGAAGCCAACAAGGCGTTGGTTAGGCCCATCTGTTCCCCGGCATCCATTTCTTCCCCCCGAGAACCAACAGAACATCCACTGCCGCTTGCCATTGCTCTTCACTTTTTGGCCAGACCATATTGACCTGCTACTCTGATTGCAACGTCCCGAGAGCGTTCCAGCCCGGCGGCCCTAAGGGTTGGGAGGTGGTGAGACACAAGCGGAGCCAACTGCCTTCAGGGGTTCCCAGACCAACCAGTCCAGTTGACGTCCAAGTGTAATCATCACCTGAATCCTAGCCGCCCCTTACGGACCCCTCCTGAAGCATCCCTCGCTCGGATGAATTCTGATCATCATCTACAACGCGGGTTTGTCGGATGGCTCAGGAAGAAATGCCTCTCTTCTCCCACTGTGGTGACGATACCCGCCTACCACAAGACGGTTTCGCTTCGGGTAATAGTCGACATGTGCCACCATTGCTGCTGATATTCTTGATTTCCGATATTTGATAAATATGTGGCGTTGCGTACAGGTACTCCGTGCTCTGTACGGAGTACTGGCCAGCACATTGGGCCATGGCACCCAAAGATCCCGAAGTCGTCTTGCTAGCTCGAGCCTGGGGGCGAAGTAGGCCGGTTTTCCTGCCCTCGTCCAACGTTCGATTGGTCGTCGACGACGCCCTCATCACCCCCACGATTTCCTGTGCCTGCCTTTGGGTCGGTCTGTGCCAATTGGTTGCGACCCCTGAAGCTAGCCAAGGCCATCTGCAGGCTTGGCATATCTGTCGTCATTGTCAACTTCGCAATGCATCGCCCTGCTGTACTTTGTATAATTCATCAATCTGTCCTTCAAGAGGCTCACAAATAGTCGGCCGGGCATATTCACCCGTTGATCGTCTTGAGCATGGGCCATTATTTGGGCTAACGCATTTTGCCAGGCGCGAGGACCAGGTCTGGTTCGTGAAGGATATTACGACGTTGCAGTCGGCGGTGTATTGCCTTAGATTGACGCTCAAATCATCGCACTAAACAAGACCCTGGTCGTCCGGCTATAAACAAACCGCGGACTTGATCGACAGTCTCCATTTTCTCACGGAGCATTTCACTCGATGATTTCTAGAATTGACCCATTAATAAATCTCCGGATCCTTCACGTACGCCGTTAAGCTGCTCATTTTGAGCCCGAGGCTAACCCTAAATCGTAACGCCTAGAAAACATCAACTCAAGATACTACCATCTCACATTGGCTTGAAATTCTTCGCTAAACTTATCCGCTCTTATTAAATATAAGCGTCTTACTTTATAACAAGGTACAACATAAGACGCTTATATTCTAAAAAGAGCCGACAAATTCAGCGAGGAATTTCAAGCCAATGTGAGATGTTAGTATGCTTCATCACGGACAACGCATGCTAAATATGGTGACACATCCAACCCAGACTGGTTATGCGACGACGACGCATAAGTAGTCACCGTCCAGCACAACGGCGCAAAGGCTGCAAAATCACAGCAACTCGCAAGGCAATGAATACTTCTGCCATACCTCGTCCCGTCGCTGTGCACAACCCACCATCGCCGAGATTCTTGTCATGTTTTGCCCCTCAGCTTCGTGCAGATCCCAAATGTCCGTAATCTCCCAACACCGTTCCTACAACTGATCCAGCAACTTCTGCCTCCTCCTTTCAATGAGTTCCTGTTGAACCTCCTCCATCGTCGGCAAAACCCAAACCTGTCCATCGCCCGTGTCGCCAGGCAGAGCCTCCCATCCCTCCGGAGGTTCCTGCGGTCCATTCTTCAGCAAATTCTCTATGGCCAATCTCTCCTTCTCCGCCTCATACGCCAACAACGCATCATCCTCTTCTCCCGGCGCATACCCATAATACGCCGCATCCACATTCCTCCGTAGATCTCGCCTGTCCTCCAGTGGCTTATCCTCCTTCTTTCCCGCTTTGGCTTTCGCCGCATCAAACAGCTCCTTAACGCCAGGCAATTCCTTCGCCCGTCCAAAGTATTTGTACCCTTTCCCACCGCCTGGTATCTCCCTTCCTTCCTCGTCGTATATCCTTCCTGCTGTGCGCATGTAGTTTGGTCCTCCCAAGTTCCGTATTTGTATTTCCCACATGTGCTTTTCTCGCATGAGCTTGTTGATCTCGTCGTTGAGGTCGCGGATCTGGTAGTCGCTCAACACAGGATCGTGGATGCGAGAGACCTTACGCGAGATCTCTTTGAGCACCTGACCACGCCATTTTTCGCAAAGAGGCACCGAGTCGACTTCCGTTATGCCTTTGGGGCGACGTGTACGGCCGGCGTCGATGATGCCTAGGTCTGCAGCTTGGGCTTCGCGAAAGCGGAAGAGCATGGATTGGGCTTTTTCTGAATTTCGCGCCTAAAATGCGTAAGCCAAGCGTTCAACTACCGATGCAGAATAAGGGGGAAAACGGTACCATATTTTCAGCTCTTGACGCGTAGCAGCGTCTGTGAACTGTGAGGGTATGGAGATGTGGCGGTTTGCCTGTTGTTGGTGTCGATTTCAAGTTTGTCCAGCCTCGCGGTGTTGAAAGCAACAAGTGGGACGAGCCATGGCACTCGCCACAATCAGCCACATTTCTAGATCCTAGCCTCATCAGCCAGCCCTTTTGTTTTCCGACGTCGTCGCATTTTCAATCTTTGACAATTGCCACAAGCTTATTTTTTTCAACCTTTCAATACTGACGCAATAGGCTAGCATTCTTATCGTTCCGGCCTACTCACGGATCTATTCCTTAATAGAAACTTTTTCCACCAACAGTTTACCATTCTTCCGTCCAACAAACTTACCACCGTGAACTTCTTCCACCCCTGGTTCATCGCCAACGACAACCATCAAAGCTGTCATCACCTCATCACACGACAAGTTCAACAGTGACATCAGTATACCTATCTGCTACGCCATACAAGACTTGCTGTGTCATAGTACAACCGCTGGTCTACCGCCCTTGACACATTCAAGGCCAAGCAAGTGCTTGCTTTAACATGGTGGCAGGTAGCACGAAATCCTGCCATGACGAAACACATCTACGCCAGAGCAGGGATGCCACGGGCTGGGTTTTCAAAAAAACCTGCCCATGAGCAAAGGACCAGGCTAAGAACAGAGATCCGAGCAGGCTCCCATTTCTTTCCCCTCGTGAAACTTCTCGGGCCTGCCAAGTCCGCAGTAGCCGCAATGACTGACAGCCTTTGTATCGGAGACTAGTCCACGAAGCTTATTTTCACACTCATCGAGTGCAGTTAGGCACGTGGCCAGGTCAGTGACCTTGGTAAATTATAGTTTTCAATCGGAGCAGGCTGGATAGGTATGATCTGAAAGTACACTGGGGAAATGACGAAGGAGTTAAGAATTATCAGCCCGGTGATGATCAAGGTCCAAAAAGCCAAATTTGTAGGCAGCAGCGGCGATGTTCATTGAGTTCGAGGATCACGGTCCGAGTCGCGCGTTGTCACTGAGAACGTAAGAGAGCTAATCTGAGGGCGGCTTCTTTTCTTTCTCCTGCACTTTGTTTCACATTTGCTCACTCGCAATTGGTTGTAATACATTCCTGAAGGTCTACGTACGAGTCTGTTCACATGGTAGCCGGTATTGGGATTGTTTTCCTCCTCGAGATGTATTCCCGTCTTTGATTTGAAGACTGTTTCTTACGCCACACGCCGGGCTACATCTCGTCTCGTGAGATTGGTCCATCACGACGGGTTGAAGGATGGATTTTGCTAGCCCCAGGTCGGCATCTAGCAATGTACTGGAGCCTCAAACGGCAGAACTTGGTTAATTCATCCTAGACTTTGCAAGTGGAGGTTTTCACTACGAGTCATCACAAGCTTTGGGGGATCAACCGACAAGAATGGTTTTTTTTGCCTTTTTCCCTGGGACAACTCATCACGGATGATTTTAGACGCAGGTTCAGAGCCAACCCTTCAAGTTTCATTTCTCCCCTTCGTTCCAGTGCTGGCTAGTTAAACTCTCGCTATCTTCCATCACCCCGTCGTCCTCTTTCTACGCACTCCGTAGCGTTCAGTCGGCCAGCGACCGGCTGCATGACATGTCCAAGCCGTCGTCCATCTCACTTCTCCTGATAACCAGCCAAATCACTTGGAACTAAACTTTTTGAGCTCACTTAACAACTCGCCGTTGTAATCTCGCTCAATACTCCACACCATCATTCCGCCCAAGCCCTTGGACTCTGCAAACTTGACCTTGGCCGCCAAACTCTGCGGGTCATCGTACGAGATGAAAGTTTTCGTTTGAGGATTAAACAACCAAGGGGTCATTGTCTTATTATCAAAGGTCCTCACCCAGGGGGCTTCTGCGGTATCAGGCGAAGACAGTACTCCTTGTTTTCGGAGATTCTTGTACACCCAGATGCCGGTATATGTGGCTGCTGCGCTAGAGCATGGCTCTGTAACCATCTCATCGTCTTGGTCTCCCTTTGGGCGCTCCTTTGCCATCTTGGCGTACTGGCTTGGGGGGTTAGATTTCAACATGTCCTCGGTCGCCGTGGCTGAATAGCCGTAGAACGCAGCGCCGCCTGTGAGTTGCTTAGCCGGCCAGCCTGCCTTGGTCCATTCCTCAATCGCAGTCGCAAACGACTGCTGTGTCCCTTTACCCTTCTCGAAGTTCAAGGGGGCAAGAGGACCGCTTGTCTCGCCCCACGCGCCGTTAAGATCGTACTGCATCAGATTTGCAAAGTCGACCACCTTGGCGAATCCCGAAACGTCCTTGCCGCCGGGTCCGTCAAAAGGCTGTACTCGCAGCGCCAACGTAATCAGCTTGCCCTTTCCAAGGGCCTCATCCATCTTGGCCCGCAAGTCGGTCAAGTACTTGAGGAAATTGGTCGCGTCATTTTGCTCGTCGACGGTATTGCAGTCACTCCCTTTTCGGCCCGGAAACTCCCAGTCAATATCGATGCCGTCCAGCTTGTACTTCTTCATCATGTCGATGATGTTCTTGGTCAGAGTACCACTCAAAGCAGTGTCCTTGACGATTGTCGAGAAGTTCGCCGAGCCTGACCATCCGCCGACGGACACGAGGACCTTGGAGCCGCCGCCCTGGAGCTTTGGAACAACCTTGTCCATGAAGGCGTCGCCCTCAAACTTCAGGGCTCCTTGCTCGTTGGGTATTGCAAAGGCAATGTTGATGTGAGTGTAGTTGGACAAGTCCATGGTGGAGATATTCCCATGCTTCCACGTAGGATAGTACCCCACGAGGAGGTTGCCACCAAGCGCGGGAGCGACATACGACAGCAGTGCTGTCCAGAGTGTGAATTCGAAACGCATGTTTGTGGATGTTGTTGTAGTTGTTGTTACTGGTCGATGAGAGCTGAGAATGAACAGCGCATCTTGATGAGCATCTCGCCAGCTCTTTATACATCTTCCTGAACAAGCCGTTGGCCTTCATTCAACACGGGGCCTTCAAAGACACGCGTAGCGTCAAACTTTTGTTCCGAGCCCTTCTTTATGCGAGATGCTCCTTGGATAAGCACTTCCTTCGTTTGTTCGCAACCTCGTCTTCTTCACTGTACCGGATCCCGGAACGGGAACGCTTTGCCCCTCGCCCTTGGCATTGTCGGGTATTTGCGCATGATCGTCTTTGTTCATTTATCTCGATTGTGCCCACCTCCGCACAGCCACTTCTGCGACAGACAAAGTCGCGTCTGAATAATGCTTGCCGCCGGCAATCCATTCAGCATGCGACGAACTGTTCGGATCTCCATCAGCCTTTATCAGGACTCTCGGTTCTCGAAGAAAGGAGAGGTAGCTGGCGCATAGACGTCAAGGTTTTGCCGTGATTCACGGGGACAAAGAGTCCTACAGCACCGCTATGCCTCGCGTGGTTTTCTTTTATTGCGCTCTCTTTTTTTTTTTTCATTGATTTGCTTTTGTTTCGGTTGTTAATATCTAGGTCAAGAGGCTGCGGTATTGGAGGGGCTACTCAGCTTGGCGCGGCTACTTGCCAAGATGTCATGTTATGATGTCAGTCTGTGTTTGTAAAGGTTTGAGGCGACGGAAATAATCAAAAGGTGTTTTTGGGGATCGGCATGTTTTGCGCTAGAACATACACCCTACGGGGGACTCGGCGGACTGTGCACAAATCTATCATTTTACCAGTCGCCTATATACTCTACACCAACATATCCCCCCTCCGAGCATAAGATCGTACAGAATTTTTCCCTTTATCCCTCCATCTTGATTACTTATTTGGTCTTGGTCTTGCCCCCCACCGGCTTGCTATACATCCAAATAGCACAAAAGCCCACAAACCCGCCCACCGTAGCCCCAATACCAGAGATCCAAGGCCACGCCCCCGAGATGACATAACTCCTGGGCCACTCGTCATGGGCAATGTGGCGCACGCTGACAGTGTTCTTCTCCTCGACATAAGTCAGGAACGGCCGCTTGTAGTTGACCTTGAAGTTGAAGATGCCGTGCTGGTCAGGGAGCGTGAAGCTGGTGCCGTAGACGGTGGCAGAGTCGCTGACACTGAGGGGCTTGAGATCCAGTCGATGGAAGGGCGACAGCATGGAGAACTCGAGCTGGAGGGCGTCGGTGGCGGGAAGGGTGAACGGCTCCCACTTGTTCCAGGAATACTCCGAGATGGAAATGCTATACGACTGCATGATGGTCAGTAAAGACGATGGACTGTGTCGGTAATGAGGTCCAACTTACGACATCGTTCTTGATGCGGTAAATCTCGGGGTTCGTCTCGTTGTCTCCCTTGAGCCGATGCTCGATGTTGTTCACACGCAAAACACCAATCTCCTGGAAGGCCCAGCCGGAGAGCCTCTTGGCAAATTCACGGTTCTCAGTCTTGACCTTTTTGCCCTCTGGGCGCGAAACCTTGGCCTCCAGCCACTTGTCCTGCAGCATCTCGGCGGATCCAACAACCGCGACTCGAGCCGAGTTGCGTGCCTGGAAAACAGACACCAACGCAAGCTGCTTGCCCGCGGCAAAGAGATCTTCAGGGTCCACGGCCTCGGCCTGCTCCTTGGGGTTGTAGCTGTACGCGGTAGACGGGGCACGAATCACGGGCGTCAAGAGCGCGCCAGGGCCAAGCGTGTGTCCAGCACCGTGTGGGAAGGACAAGACACCCGGGACCTCGAAGTAATTCTTGAGGCCGGGACGCACGTTGGTGGGCGCATCGAGGACAAGGACGTCGTGGGCCTCGGGGGCGGAGAGAACGTCGTAGTTGAAGTGGTCGACGACGGTGCCGGTGCGTTCAGCGGGGAGCGCAATGTCAATCTGGGCCAGAAGGGAAGTCAATGACGAAGAGGTGGGCGTGGTGGACGACAGAGCAACGAGTATGTTGCCGTTGGCGTTGACGAAGTCGACGAGAATGTTGGGCGTCAAGTTGGGTCCGAGGGCTGCCGACGATCAGCAATGATTCATCTCTAGACACGGGGCTGAACTCCAAAAATCTCACCCTTGACCTTTGCAGGCAAAAACACCAGGTGGTCGTACGTCCTCTCGCCCAAATGGAACAACTTGACATGTTCGCTCCTCGGCGTCTCATAGGTAATCTGATAGCCTCGCTCTGCAAACCAGTTAGCACCGGCCCCATTTTCCCCGGGCTCTTTCCAATATTCGCATCCGTCGACTGCAACCTTACCTGTCAAATCACCAAAGAATTGCTTATAGTTCTCCTTCTCTGCCACGTCATCGAGCACAACCAGCAGCCGGTTTCCAGCGGTGCTGACGGCCGAGACGGCAGCGGCGAAGAGAACGGCAGCCGCACATAAAATCGACCGCATCTTGAAGAATTACGCACTCAATGCGTTTGTCGTGGTAGATGGCGAAAGGGGGGTGGACCAATTCGTCGTAGGTGGTTGAGGGAAGTTTCGACCAGCTTGCCCACGAGTTTGGCATGAATAGCTACTATTCCAAACAAGCTCCTTGGGGATACGTCGCCTTGTGTCTGGCCTTTGAGCTTCAAGGCCAATGTGGGGGGGGTGTCCCGCCCAGGTCAAGACCACGTCACGCCCACGCCAGGGCGTGTGAGATGGCGCAGCGGAAGAAAACTTTTCCGATCTTGTCAGCGCATCGCCAATTGGAACAACCTCACCCGAGCATTTGCCTGCTTCCCAGCCAGCCCTGTACTTCTCACCGTCGACAATTCAATCCATTGAGTGCGCACCCCCGTGTTCTGCTTCGAAGACCGCGAACCGATCTAACCTCGCTCTCTTGAGTACAGGCCACCATGTCTGCGCCAATCTTCTGGTCCACCCCTCTCAAGTACTGCCGCTGGGCAGCTCGTGAACGACCCGCGCTTTTCTGGTCCGTCATCATTGGCGCCGCCGGTCCCATCGCCATGCCTATCGTGCCTCCGATCCGAAAGTACTTCGGGGATGTTGACCCTGCACCTATTCCCGTTACATATCCCGGTATGACTGGCTCCGAAGCTCTAAATACAAGAACGGTGCGATAGGGACATGAGGATAGAGGCTAATTTGTATCAGTTCCTACGGGTCCTCGGAAACAGTTGACAGGCTATGACGATTAGAAGAAGAAGAAGAAGAAGGGGTAAATACGGAAGGACAACATCGGGGGTAGGAATGTGGCACTAGATATCCACGACAAATACCCGTCGTGAACCGTGTACAAAACCAGCGGCGTTTTTGAGATCGACGTGCACAGAGGGCGGCAATTATCGCCTGCTACGCAAATTACGGCTCAACTTTTTTTTAGTTAAATCAACATCTTGCATGCAAATACTTTTTCTGCAACACTGAATATCTTCCCGGGCTATGCTCTCAGCGATCTTTTCTGCCTTGTCCAAATCTAGAATGTTCCCAAAAGGGCGAAAAGGGTGCCAAAAAAAAAAAAAAAAAAAAAAAAAGGGGGGGCTTGCTATGAGGCAATAAAACGGTCGTCAAAACTCCCTTTCTAATTAACGTCAGGTTTCGTTATGTCCTCTCTCAAAGACAGTATGCTATCACGATGATTTCTACCTGGTTTTCGGTTGGGAAGAACCAGACTCTATCGGTCTCCGCGACCAAAATTCCATTCATACTGCGTAATTTTTAGTCAACAAGCTCTGCCCGATGGAGTGTTGGGAACTTACCACTCTTCCGTCCTCATCTCCGGTGTATAGACAAGTGGGCATGGGGGTAATACAAGTGATTCCGGCATCCGTGTTGTCCTGTGTGTCACCCTTAAAGTCGATATGGTCTAACCTTCGAAGCAACTCCAGTGTCCACTTGCCCGCAAGAACACATTTGCGCCAAACATTAACCCGTCCCTTGCTGTGTCCAGTGAAAATAATGCAATTCTCCAGCCACTCATCCCCAGCGCCTTCGTAAAATGCACAAGAATACACATAATCATCTTGCTCTCCACAAACGTTTTGGTCTAGGACGAGCGTTCCATTAAGCGTGTACAGGAGAACGTTCGGGCCTGAGCACAATAAGACTTCTCCAGAAACATTATTCATAGCAGCACACTCTACAAGCCGCACTATCGGCAGCTTGCGGATAAAAGTGAGCTGGTTGAGATCCCAAAGGAAGGCTTGTCCATCCGCGGACGCCGTAACAAAGGTACTAAAAGCTTTGCTAACAGCCATAGCTGTAACGAGAGTCTTGTGACCAAACACGCTGGATCGTGGAACAAGTTCTACAGGTTTGCCAACAGATGTATGTACCGTGTAGACTGATACAACACAGTCTTCACCTGCAGTAATTAGCGTTTTGGAGTCTGCAAAGCAAGCGCATGAAATCTGTCCGGTGTGAAGATTCTCAAATAATCCAGCAGGCTGGCGATAGGTTAGTATATAAACGCTGCATCTATGCGGAAGGAGCATACCTTGCGATTGTCGCTGAAGAAGAAGCGGATGCTGTTATCTGCATATCCCCACTCCAAAAACTTATCATACGGTGCAAAATTCAAGCGGAATGCCGATGCGCATAACAGCCGGTCGAGTTTTTGGGCGTATATCAAACTAGATACACGTTCATGGCTCTCTGATGCAAAAATTAGTTTCCAATATCTCGTTGGATTCATGCCGAGGAATTGCTCACCTAACAGGGGCCGGGGTAGAGATGTCAAGGAGAAAATAGATGTATCCAGTCGTCTTGTCGGGCATTGCGTGTATTCCCGAGCCGGATGGGGCTTGTTAAACACTTGATGAGGCGTCTGCCCGAAATTATGAATAACACCAGCTGTTATAGCTCTTTCATTTGCATCCGTGATGCGATCCAAGTCGCTTGCGCCAGCGTACGAGAGATGGTGGAACACATTGAGATTTTCCACAGCTGCCTCCCCTCGTTGCTTACATCCGAAGACGA